AAGTAACGTCTGTAAGCTACCAGTTGATTTGTACCTATCTACAAATGGTTTGGTATCGTTGTGAGTACTGTGATGATTGGTTTAGGAACCAGAGAGCTCTATCAAGTCACATACAAGCTATCAACCTTGTATTGAGGCACGGAACAGAGTGCTGGGCATTGACACTGGACTAACAAGAAGGAGTAGATCCAGGGCAAGGGCTACTGACACTGGGAGGCCCGCAAGGGCACCAACACCAACAACACAGGAAGAGGAAGAATCCAGTCAGGACATTCCACAAGAGATGCAAGAGGAAGATGATCCAATGGAATGGGACCCCGTGAATGTTGATCGTACTGGTTCTGAAGATGAGGATGAGGACGACGAAGATGAGGATGACGACGAGGATGATAGAAATCAGGCAGCGGATGCACAAATTGGCAACCAAAGTGACGGTATTAGGGAAGGCAGAGAAGAGGTAGATGCGGAGGACGAGGATCAGGAAGCCACAGACGAGGATTCAGATGAAACTGACAGTGATGAGGAATCCAGTAGTGAAGGATCCGTGGCCACAATCATACAAAACGACAATCAGGACAAGCAAACAAGGATCAAGAGACCTCCTGACAACAGAGATATCAAGCAATTCAGACGGTACTGTGAGAAGAGTCGGCGTAGCAACATCCCACTGAATGCAAAGCACGCAAGGGGCGTCAGGCTGATGGATATCTTACGAAAGCACAAGACACCTCTGACTGCCTATGATGATATTCTTGACTGGCACCTAGAGGAAACTGGTAAGCGAGTTGGAGATGAGCCAATCGGTGAGGTGCCAGACTACCTCAGCCGCAAAGCATTGATGAGCTTCCTCAAGAAACGGTACAACATGACTGACAACTTTCCTTTCGAAAAGGAGATGTATGGAGACACACAGCATGACCAAGCAAAGGAGGACCTGATGAATTATGAGAGATTTGTCGCAAATCGGGAAGACAAAAAGGTTGACAAGGCACAGGATTTTCATACGCACCTGGCGGCCATACTGCATTCTTACCTACCGTTGGATGCAAATGGCATGGTCTGGGATCTCCATTACCGAGGAAAGCTTTACCGAAACCTTGAGCTAGTCTTCTGGACTCTCATGGTAAGGGCCGACACGGATGAGGCAGAGAAGCATTGTGGGAAGTATAGGAGTCGGGCAGGGAATGTGAAGCATTTGTGCCGGTACTGTCACTGTCCCAATGAAGAAACTGATGATCCACTTGCTGATTATGAGGCCAAAACAGTGACAGAGATTACCAACTTGATCAAGGACAAGGACAAGGAAGGTCTAAAAGACATCTCCCAGCAATTCATTGAAAATGCATGGTACGAGCTTCGGTTCCATCCAACTGATGATACCGGTATCCACGGTGCATTCCCTTCTGAAATGCTCCATGCGATCCTGTTGGGTATCTTCCTGTATGTGAGAGCAGCATTCTTTGCCCAGATTGAAAAATAACGAAATTTTATTTTAAAGGCTACACCTCGTCAGACGATCCGCTGAACGGTGTCGTGACGAACCCATATACCTCAGGCGCACGAGGGCGCCCACTTAGGATGCAAGCTCAATCGGAGCCAAAGAGATCGATGCTTTGGCTCAGCAATATGGCGAACTCTTCAATAAGAATTCCGAACGAGATCTTCCCAACTGTAAGTTCTCCCATGGAATCAATCAAAAGAAGAAGCTGATGGCCATGGAGTACCGTGGCGTTTTACTACTGATTGCTACCGTATTGCGATCCACCAAGGGTATCGAAATCCTGAAGCAAAGCGTATATTTTGCGACACCACAGCTCCGAAAGGATTGGCTCCGTCTGGTGGAATTGCTGCTGGAATGGGAAGCTTTTCTGAATCAACGGGAGATGGACATTCACATTGTGAAGCGTTTGGAGAAGAAGAATCGCTTCATTATGTACCTGCTTAAGAAGATTTTGAAGCGAGTAGACAAAATGGGTATGAGAGTGATGAAGTTCCACGCGATAATGCACATGGCAAGGGATATCATTTTGTATGGTGTACCTCAGGAACACGACACCGGTTCAAACGAAAGTGGTCACAAAATCACCAAAGTGGCAGCCAAACTCACCCAGAAGAACATCGCCACATTTGAAATACAAACAGCGATAAGGTTGATTGAGTTTCTCATCATCCACTGGGCAATGGCCGAGCTGAATGGTAGCGAATTGTGGGAGTACTATGGTGATTTTGATCCATTGCATGCGGATGATGATGGTTCCTTTGTTGTGGAAGAGGACAATGAATCTCAGGAATCAACAACGCCTATCATGGGAAACAGGGATGGAAGCGATAGCGACAAGGATGGAAGCGATAGCGACAAGGATGCAACCGATAGCGACAAGGACGATGGAACCAACAGTGAGGATGAACAAGAAGAGGAGGAGGACCGTATCTCTACCGGTGGCACCAAACTGGAAGTGTATTTGATGAGTGTTGGCCCCGAAGACGATGGCTGGGATCCTGTCATGGCTTTTAAGGCAAAGATGGAGAGGAGTCCTGACTTGGCATGCATCAGGTACAGTGCAGACATTGTTGATTTCCTTCTTGCACTGCAGGACAAGCTGGAAGATTTCTTGGGTATCCCGGACTATGAGCTGCCAATCTGCACTGAACACAAAAGGAATGGTGTTACTTTCCGTGGTCATCCTGACTTTAGAGGTGGCGGACCTTGGAGGGATTGGGCAATGATCAATTGGGGAGATCCTGATTATGGTGACTACGACGACTTGCCGTGCCACATCTGGTGCTTTGTGACTCTGCAATAGCTACCTGAACCAGGCGCTGCGAATATGGATGCCGAGCTTAGGGAATATGGAGGTATCTACCTGGAAAACCTGACCTATGCCGTGGTAGAGAGTGCAAAATGGGATCTAAATCACAAGGAAGTCACCATGAGTGACCTGTTCCAACCCCTGATCAAGGACATAGGTCAGAAGAAGCGCACATTCTACCTGGCTGATGTGGGTGCCATTGTTTCCCCAATGTGTGTGGTGCCAGATATCGGTTGCAAAGACGGAGATAGGTATTTCAAAGTTAGGCCTAGGTCAGAGTGGAGCGACGAGTTCATCTCTTGGGTGGAGGATCCTCACGAATTTGATCGACACAGATAAAGATACTTACATAGTTTTTATGTAATTAGCGAGAAAAAATGAGGTAAACTAAGCTCGCCTGTTGTCGATTGCGACATCAGATGTTGTCTTTTGCGAAAGAAGTTCCCGAAACGTATGCCCAGCTTCCAAATCCGCACGGAAGGCATCTCATTTCGCAAGGGGGCGCCCATTTCGGAACTTATTAGGATTTCGGAAACCTTTTTAAGCCAGCCTACATTCAAATGTGTCACACGGTACTGACGTCTAATTAGAAAATTCGATCGTTTAAATAATTAGAGTAATCGATAAACGAACTGCACTCCCACTTATAGTGACCTTACCTTGCACGTGTATGTTCTCGATTCCTGCTTAGAATGGGAGGATTCTATGGCCCTACTCAGTACAACCTAGGCCACAGTAGCTGGTGGCATTGAGATTTATGGGCTTGAAGATAGCATCGAAAGTTTCCAACTCAATCTGTCCATGGAGCAATGCTAACAGGAAATTTTTGATGCTATTGTTTCGAGGCAGTTGTAGCATTGCTTGTGCGTTTCTGTTGGCTTTGAATCCACAATACACGGCCATTGTTCTCGCGACTTGCCAAGTCCACCAATACCAAGTCCACTGCAATACAGGACAATGGGTACAACACAGGAATCACCAACCAAACACTAGCTAGGCAACAACAAGAACATACGGATGGATGGCTGAATCGAATGATCAATCCATAGGAAGATCCAATCTTCTCTGTTGACGATCTGTTCAGGCTGGCGTTATTCGGAGTGCGACAATGGTACCGGTACCGGTATTAGGGTTTCAGAGAATAGAAAGCCAACTTGAGTTTCGTGGGCCAAGAGAAGAATACTACGTTCCCACGCTGGTAAGGTACCGGTATGATTTCAATAGGGATGGCTTTCGATTGACTGAGGCTTAATGATTGAACCATTCCACTGATTCGATGGATGATACTAGCTAGTAGCAAAGGTGCCGCAGACTGTCGGGAATCGATGTCATTGCTACTCCGGTTCCGAGGATCTCTCGCGTCGATTTTGATGAATGCATGCAACTCAATGGCGAATCAGCAATCATGCTGCGCGCTACGACCATAAAGTCAGTCTAGCAGTACCATCGAAGATAGATTCATTTTTCTTTTGGCTGGCTGCTGGCTAGCTGGCTAGCTAGCTAGCTAGGTACATGTAGTCAATGGACCGAAACGTTGTCTGCATCTCGTGGTGGCAGGGGCGGCTCGTGATTACTTCTTGTGGGCCCATGGTGGCAGTAGCGTCACCTCCGACACCAACGCTCCAAAATTTGAGCATTAGCATCTACTGTACAATGTATTTTGTGTTCGGTTGAAGTAAGAAGTGATCTCTACACAGATCGGGCCAGTCATCAGCGACCAAGCTTGTACAGTACGTGTAGGATTGGAGTCGAGTCTTAGTCTTGGCCAAGAACCAATAGCTTCAAATCAGCGCAAGAAATAATTACTCAGAGAACTCAGTGAGCCAGCCAGTTGACTTCTTTGGAAAGTCGTCAATTATTGGCAGCTACACTTTGTGACACGACTAAAAACTGGCTGGGCTGTTTTATTGTCCTAAGCTTTACAAGCTTAGATGCGTGAGGTCACCAAACAAAAAACTGGTGGGATTAGTCTTGCCCTAGACCGTAGCGTGGCAGGTTCTTTTTCGGATGGGTCTGCCGAAAAACCACGCCCAAAGTTACCAAAACTGCGTAGGACTTTTGAATTTGCATGTGCCAGGCCAACAGACGTAAAAAAGAAGTCAAGTTGTTTAGTTCGGGATCCGAGTGATCCTCGCCGGGCTCCTCCGGTTTCTGCAGTCGTCTCTTGCGCTTTGGCTGACGGAACGTCCAAACGAAGCCAACAAGCCACAAACCGACCGCCTTTCGAATCCTCAATCAGCTCTCGGAAGTCAATCGTCACACAGTGTCGGGTCCTACTAATACTCTCGTAATAGCTGCGTCTCCTAAGGAAAGAAAGCCAACAGATACCATATTGGTACCAGCAAAAAGCCGAAATGAAGCACTTTAAGACCATCCTAGAAGCACTCAACCACCATGCTGTGGAGACTCCTGACAAGGTCGTCTTCACATGGGTCGACATCAAGTGTGTGGAACAAAACAAGATGACATTCAAGCAGCTGGAAGACCAGTCCAATGTTGTGGCGGCTCGCCTCCTCAAGCTGGGATGCCAAAAGGGAGACCGGGTCATGATTGCCTATCCCTTTGGTCTAGAGTTCTTGGCTGGAATGTTTGGAGCCATGAAGATTGGAGTCATCCCCTGTTCCATCTATCCACCAAATCCCAATCAGCTCAAGACAGAAATGCCAAAGTTCCGTGGTTTTGCCAAGGATGCCGGAGCCAAGTATGCTCTCTCGACTAACGTGTTTGCTGCTGGAATGACTGCAGCTAGCATCCTCTACAAGACTGGAGTGAAGTGGATTGGGACTGATAATCTACCAATCAAGAAGAGCAACCCCAACAAGTCCAAAGATTACGAGACATTTGTGGGAAAAACTGAAGAAATTTGCTTCATCCAATACACCTCTGGAAGTACGGGATGTCCCAAAGGAGTCATGATCAGTCACAACAACCTGGTGGAAGACATTTGGGCCATTTCACGAGTATTAGGCACAAATGCTGTGGGAGCCTTGTGGCTCCCACAATACCATGGTAAGCCACATTTTGACGATACTTTCTCATGGAGACAAAAAAAAGATTGTGTCCCTGACATTCTATAATTTGCTTTTTTGCTTTTCTCAGACATGGGACTTGTGTCGGGATTTATGAGCGCTCTGTATGCCGGAGTTCATGTTATCATGGCATCACCTATCGACTTTATCATGAGGCCCCTGTTGTGGACTGATATGGTAGAGACCTACCAAGCCACTCATACTTGTGCTCCAAACTTTGCCTATGCATTGCTACTGAAACGGTTGAAACAGGCCAACAGAAATGCCAACTGGAGTCATGTCACTCATGCTATGTTTGCTGCGGAACCCACTCAGAGACATGTAGTGGAGGAGTTGGCACAAACCCTTTCTATCAGACGAGAACATGTGTACAACCTCTATGGTCTGGCTGAGGCTGTTGTGTTTCTCACAGGAGGACCTGCCTACCCTGACTCTGATGGGGTCGTTTGCTGTGGTCCAGTAGACTCTCCATCTGTCAAGCTTCGGATAGTTGAGGATGGAAAGGAGGTTGAAGATGGACAAGTTGGGACTATCTGGGTCCAGTCTCCTTGTGTGGCAGCTGGGTACTATGGCCAGTCACAGCTGACTGCCTCTACCTTTGCCAACGGCTTGCCTGGTTACGAAGGCACCTGGCTGGACACTGGTGATTTGGGGAGAGTTTTGAGTGGACAGCTCTATGTAACTGGACGAGTCAAGGATGTTATCATTATCAATGGAAAGAACTACTACCCAACAGATGTGGAGCTCTCTATTGATGATATCTTTGGCGATGTTATCCGTCCAGGCCGGACAACTGCCTTCCAGTATGGGGAGGATAGTGTTGGTATTACTGTGGAGGGCCGCAAAGGATTTGTCAAGGCAGAAAATGAAGACTTGGCTGTGCAAATATCCAACCATGTATCCCAAGTGCATGGTCTTTTAGCTTCTGAGGTTTTGGTCCTAAAGTTGGGTGTGACACCCAAAACCACCTCTGGCAAGCTGAAGAGGAGTGAGATCCGGCGGACCACGATTGCTGGTGACTGGAAGGATTCCTCTGTGTTTTTACAGTTCAAGCGTCTTGAAGGTGGTTGTGTGCCCGAGCTTGGGCTCCCTGACATCGACCTTAGCCAAACAAATGCCCTGCCCAGCAAAGCTGTCGAAGCTGTTCATGTTGTAGTGTGCAACCCCAGCAAGTTGGATGAGTACTTCGATGAACTTCATCTAGTTGGGGTCTCTGGCATTGAAGAAGCGTGGTCCATTGCCATCAAGACAACAGCTGCAATGCAAGCCATGTGCTCCCAAATCCTGAAGCATCTTGAGGACAAGCACCCAAGCATCTGCCAGCTTGCTGATACCTTATGTGAAAATCCAGACTGGCTTTTGATTGAGGACAGGACAGATTTCCTTTTACAACTTGTGCACCAAATCCTTGTCCTGGAATGGGTGACAACCTTCATGATGGATAACCCAGAGTGTATGCAACAAAAGTTACAGAACGATGCTGAGTGGGAAAACACACATGAGACTACTCAGAAAGTCCCAACCGAGCTACAAGAGATGCTTGACCTCCCAGACCAAGACCCCATTTATGGGAAGTTGCCATTCTTCCATTGGATCAAGAGTAGGTCAGTTGCTGCACTACTGAAACTTGTCCTACAAAGTTTGGGATCAGCTGAAGGCCAAGCCATTAATGCCCAGGTTGATAGAATCAATGACCTCTTGTGTCTAAACATGTTTGAGGCTGTTTGGGTTGAGCAAAAACATGGACACAAGGAAAACTCAGAAGTTGGTAGGAGACTTGCTACAAATCCTGTTATGACAGCCACAACCCAATCCAAGAAGGTTTTGATGCAGCATGCATCCAATACAAGTGCTATGAATAATCTGTACATTGATTGGCAAATGCATATTGTGGCCTGTAAGTTGCATTTCTAAATTCCATCATGGGCAGATCTGGTAAAATCTCACTGTTGCACTATTCTGTTGATTCCTTCCTTCAGGGGTTGGAGACAGAAATGCTTCCAGCTGGATGGTTTCCAAATTGCTGCTTCCCTGCATCATCGGAGATGTCGGCGCAAATTTCTTCTCTGCAAGGTTGATTAGTCTCTACCTGGTTACACAGGTCACGGGAAGGAAGCTGATGCCGAACAAGTTTCATAATGAACCGATCCTGTCAAGAAGAGCACTGCATTATTTTGGAAAGCTAAACCTATCCTGTGCAAAAAAGTTTGGATACACCCCACTGGCTCCAAATAGCAAACATCAGCTTGCTCTTGATGAAGAAAACTGGATGTCCAAATTTGACCAGTGGGGGTTGGCTGACCATCCAGCTAAGGCAAGCACTGCAGACTCCAGGTTGCATGATACTAGAGTTTCTGACACTGTGGGCTCAGACAAAGTGTCTGCAGCGATAATGTCTGTGTTTGGGTCTCATGTTGACACATCCAAGACTTGGGCAGAAAATGGACTCACATCCCTCAAGAGTGCCGAGCTGAGGAACACAGTAGAGGAACAGTTGCATGTGGTACTCCCAGCCAACTTTGAACAGCTTTACCCAACACCGAATGCACTCGCATTGTTCGTGTCAGCATCAGAGAACAAGAGTTTTCCAATAGAAGAAGCTTGCAATTACTCCAATCTGCCGAATTTGCCAAGATCTAGGCCGAGCAAGCCACAGCTTGGAATACTGCAAGCTCTGGGATCAGTGATGATTATCCTCCTGTTTCTTAGCTCCATTCTTCCTTCCTACTTCCTTGCCTCCTGGGCAATGAACCACTGTGAATCAAACAAAGTTGGGGAGTGCAACAGCCCAGTTGTTTGGATTCTTTTGCCCATGTCCGTCCCTCTGTACCTGATCTCTTTTTCTGTCATTGTGGTTTTCTGCAAGTATGCAGTCATTGGAACCTATTTGCACAGGCAAATTGAACTCTTGTCTTGGGGCTACCTTCAATGGTGGTTTCTTGACAGACTTTTGGAAGTCTGGGAGTACTTTGTGGGGCGGTTTATTGTGGAGACAAAGTTCATTTGGGTCTTCTACTGGCTTCTTGGGGTCGACCTGGCATGGAGCACAAGGATTGAATCCTTTATCCGCGAATTTGATCTTGTGACCATTGGGGAAAACACTGTCATCAGCCACCCTATAAAGTGCAGGAAATTCTCCCAATCAACAGAAACAGGCCCAACAGTTACATTCCGACCAATCATTATTGGAAACAGCTGTCAAGTGTCTGGGATGGTCGGTCTGGGTGCTTCCATTGGAGATAACAGCAAGGTGGAGAAACTATCTGTTGTTGAAGAAGGGGCTCAAGTGCCAGATGGTGTACTTGCCAGAGGCAATCCAGCATGCCATTCTGGCATATTTGAGCCTTCAGAATCATGGTACTGGGAAGAAAATCTGCTGGATGCCTTCAAGATAGATTGGCTTTTCCTTGAAGCGTATCACTACTTTGCCCTGTCCTTCCTTGTGCATACCACACTCAACAAAATCTTGCCCTCTTGGCGCTATGCTGCCATCCTCCATTGGTTCCTGCTTTTTTTTGTCACTGCCCTCCTTGCCCTCATCACCAGCATTGCACTTAAATGGCTTCTGATTGGGAAGAGAAAGCCATCAGATGAATACGGTGGTTCACTATATCGCCGGGCAACCAACTGGGCCTGTGACTTCCACTTCCGTGTAGCTGCTCGGACTCTTACACCCTTCATTGGTGTAACCAAACTCTGGCATGTCATTCTCTTCCTTCATGGTCTTGATGTTGATTCTGAATCGCTTCTCAATAACCCATACATAATCTTCTTCCCGTCCAAGGTGGACTTTGTCAAGATCCGCAAGTCTTTTGTTGCGACGATCTCTCTTGACTTCAGGAAGCAATCAACCTCCAAGATTGAGATTATCAAAAGCAGCATTGGTTATGGTGTCAATCTGCATGCTGGTGTCAAGATTATGCAGTCCTCAATCCCGCCAAGGCTGGATGTGGCTGGTAATGTCTACGATTTGAACCCCTCAGGTCGGGCCTCGCAACCCAGCATATTTATGGACTTTGTCCTCCCAGAAATCACGCAGATATTCCTGGCTGTGGTGCTGTTTGCCTCCCTCATACCTTCCTATGAGCTTGGACTTGCTTTCATGAACAATGCAACAACTGGTGTGGCTGTTTTTGTTCTTCTCGTGGCTGTCCTTCTGCAGTTGTTTGTATGGGTTTTATCCTCCCGAGTTTTTGAAGCAATACAGTTGAATCTTCCAACTGGTGTTCAACTGAGAACATTTGGAGCTTATATCACGAATGTTTGGTTTTTCCGGGTTCAAAACGTGTTGGAACTACTGCTTGCCGGGACCCCGATGTTTACCTACTATGCGCGCATGCTGGGAGCTGAAGTGGAAGGGGATCTCTGGTACTTTGGTAATGCTCTCTATGAGTGTGGAAAGCTTCACTTTAAAGGGTGCACAATAGTGGACAACGCCCATGTGAGTGCCCACTACATTGATCGCAAGGGGCTAACCATTGCTGGCACCCATGTTTCTGGAGTGCTGCATCCAGGATGTTATGCATCTGCTGGCTCAGTAGTATCCTATGCCGAACATGGTCCATGGAAGGTCTTCTTGAGAAGCGATGCAGCTGTCAAGGACTCAAACCTTGTTTTGAGTGAGTGTCGCCAGAGTACCACAGATTTGTTCATTGATGAGAGCCCAAGGGCTTGTATTTTGAATCATGTGGTACCCGATGTGTAGCATGGTAATATGGATAAGAATTGGCCATTGAGCTGGGTCGTACATTTTATAATCAACCACTAGAAGTCACCGGGTCCTAGGAGCCAATTTTGGGCAAGTCACAAGTTCAAAGGGCATGGAAGGAGATCCAGCTCTTGATGTGTAGCCAATAGAGCAGGAAATGCGCTGGCTTCCGTATAGATACCCCCTCCGCTATAGCTTCTGTAGATAGCTATCCTACTCTAAACCCCCAATTCCCTACTCTAGACCCCTCTAATCAAATATATTGTGTGCTTGGTACGGCAGTCTCTCGAAATAGCTCTATCAACAATTGAAGGAGCCATTGATTCACTGATTCGTCCATTGGCGCAACATGTGGTCCGTGGCTACACTAATGCTCGACTCAAATACCCGGGCCTCGGCTCGTGGGTCATCCTCAAGCACATCTTGTCTGAATCCGTTTCTTAATAGACATTCAGTTTTTTCAGCCTTGCTATTGTTCCTGCTGTCACCTTTGCATGTGTGGTTCTTGTGTCCCTTCAAGCACAATGAGCTACCGCCGATCCCTCTGGGATGCCGATGGTGCACTTGCCCTCTTCTGCTAGTTTTGCCTCCTCTTTCTCTGCCCCGACTTTACCTAGGACTCCTCCTTTCGCCCCTCTCTTCCCCATTTGCCCCCCTTTGCCCTGCTCCACACCCTCTCCCTGTGATCCCCCACAACTGGTGCCCTTCGCTGTGTATAGATCGCTCGCGCCATTACCCTCTTTGAAGTGTTCTGGGAAGTTCAGGGGCCAGATTTAAGCATAGAAACGGCTAAGCTTAGGACTACCTGTAGCTACTAGTACTATCCAGGTTTTGTGGGATCAGGGGCGAACATTGATCACTCTATGACTTGCTATTCAAATGCTGCACCTTGGTTGCCCCACAAAAGCATCTGGGTCATAACTCACTCCTCGACCCCACAGCTGAGCGAGCTGGTAGATTGCATAGGTGATGTCCAGTGCCTGCTTGTGGGTGGGAGTGACTCCCTTCGTCATGGCTCGGACTTGCACACCGTTGATGTTGGGATCGTTGATGAATATCCGCTCCAGCAAGGACCCAACAACCGTCCACGGATGCCATCTAGTATGGCCACTCTCGGAACGGAGGACACAGTCCAGCCATTCCTTCTGGCATTTGTCTCTCGCTTCCTCTGTGGTAGGTGAGTGCATGCACTTCCCCTCCAAGTTGCACATGTGGCCCTCGTGGATCTTCAGAGCTGTCGTCCTCGTCGTAGTCGCGATCATAATCACTGTCATCATCGTAGACCTTGTTCTCCCTTGGGAGGAGCTCAAGAACTCACTTTCGGAACCCATGCCCTACCCTCTCATCGAGGACGGGCGATCCCATTCCTTCGTGGCGACGATCGTCATATCATACTATGTAGAAACCTACATGTAGCTATAGGAAGGTTCTTATCCGGGTAGAGCAAACACGACGGCCCGTTAAACCTATCCTCCTATGCTCATCTCAAGATATCACGAAGCTACCAAGCTCGAGTTCGTCTGAGACATTGACGCGCCTGGCACTAGCTAGACGACAAGAGCCACATCCCGTTCCAAAAGCTTGAACTCATCCACATCAGACGGAGAGATGCGTCGACATGTCAGGGCAAAACTTATCAATATGAGATATAAGGTGCACATGAGAGCTGACAAGCAGCAGCAGTATGATACCGTAGTAGCTAGCTAGCTAGCTGTAACCACCACTCGTACTCGTGTACCGGTACAGCCAAAAGAATGCTACTGCAGCGTTCTGTTGGAGTAAAAATCAGCAACCAGCACAAGCAAAAATAGGAATCGGCCTATTGCGGCCATATACATACTTAGCAAGGCGTCGTTGACATTTCAAACTGGACTCACCGACCAACAGACGATCCTTCGTGTGGACTTCCAGATTTTTCCATGAACTTCTCCTGTGAGTTTTCTCAGATGGCCATTAGAGAGAGTAGGTGAGAGCCTTGGAGCTCACAATAGCAGAATACTCGTATTCAAAACGACAAAGCCCACCGAGCAAAGCGACAAGTACAGGCGCAAGATTTCCGAGCGACGAATCCATACTACTATTACTCCCACTACCGCGGCACCGCTTCGTGGTACCGCCTTCGTTCTTCGTTTCAATGCTATTGGCCATTGCGGAAAAGCGGTTCGATCGAGGGTTTGCACGTTTGCACCCAAGCGCTCCGACTGTGATAATAACAGTACCTTTACCGAGTCATGCGGTACGATTTTATTAATAGCACCGAGTCGAGTCATTCTCACTAAGTCTTGTCCACTAACCAGTGGGACTCAAGAACGACTATGACTCGACTCGCTGGAAACTTTCTTTGGAAGTAATCACACCAGAAGAAGACAACATACTGTGCTAGTCTAGCCAGTACGACAGTACACTGCGGCCCTCCCCTCCGATCAACTATGTAGAGGTTCAGTTCGGACATATTGTCGACTCGACTGTCAGTCGACACAGCAAGTTTCTAGCTAGGGATTTCAGAGAGGAAGTCGGTGCTGGCCGACAGAGCAATGAGCCACCATTAGAAGGCTGGGTAGATCGTACGTGTGCCTTTAAAATTTCAAAGCTAACTAAAGCCCTCTGCTTTGGAAGCCATCTTCTGCGTGGGAGCGTTGTTTGAGCTGCACCGTGGGTCTCACGAAGTGCCTTTCGTGTCAATTATGTTGGTGCAGTCCTTTCCTACGGTACGCAACATGGATACGGTAGCGGCGGCACAGTCAATACTACCGGTACCATAATAAGCTTCGTAAGCAATCTACGCCTACACTGTTCGGACTGTTGCCGTCTGGTCGTCGCCATCGGTCGTACCGTATGCTCCTGGTCGTCTAGTTTCCTCTAAGAAGAAAAGCAGCTTGCGACTGAGGCTGGCAGGCCTTGATACTTGCCACACGGAACTCTTCGCGTCGCTCCTCCTCATGCAAATCCTGTGGCCGTCGGCTGTCGATCGACGTGTTGCCGTCGTCTCTCTAGTTTCCTCTAAGAACGCACGAATGGAACGCTTTGATCGTCTCCGAACTGTTGTCACCTTGCTTGACTATGCATACCAAGACGATCTTTCAGCATCACATAGCTCCTCCTCTTCAGTGTATCCCCGTGCATGGAGTTCTGTTTCCTGCCACCGCTGCAATCTGATAAGCAAACACCGGTGTGTGGTAGCTTGTATGAGATCCAGCAGCGTATCATCTGCTGCGTAGGAGCATTATATGAACAGCATTATATATATGAACAGCATCGTGAGCGTCGTGAGTCTCAGGAAGTGCGTCAAGAAGTTTGTTGGTGCAGCCCTCTAGGTCTTTCCGTCGGTAAGGTACCATACTACTGCCCGGATTCAGCAACATGGTCGTAGCGGTGGCACAGTTGATTAAATTGAATCGAATCGAATCGTTTGAATCATTCAAGCAATCATTCAAATTCCTATAATCCTTGGGGAATCGAGTTCGGTGTTGTCTGCCATGCCAACTATTTGAGCTGGCTGCGGTAGACTGCATGGTGGAAGCCACTGCAGACTTCGGACGCACGGTTTTTAGGATTGGCAATTCTCGATGTGGCTGTGCTCTTTATAGGAACGAACAAAATTACAACGTAAGACCTCCTACTCCTCTACTAGCTAGTAGTAGCTAGCCAACTAGCTAGAACTCTGGGACTCAAGACCAAACAGTGTGGGGCCAGTGGCCAAGCTACCAATAATAATCGCGCATAATATTGACTCTGTGCCTAAAACTAACTGTTCCGATCGAATCACATTCCTTGGAAAGGGCCTTTTTATCCTACCGGTACTGGGACTCGAAATGCTTGCATGGAAACAATGACCGTAGAAATTAAGAGGGTAAATCAAGTTGATAGAGAAGCGGCAATGTGTTTGGATGCCTTATTAACCACCTGTTGACACTTTCCTGTAAACCCGGGACCAGGACGCATGCACTTTGTCCCACAACAGCGACAACAACAAAACGCTACCACATTCCCATTACGAAAAGCAGCAACAAAACATGGAGTTCTTTACAACCATCCTTGAGGCCCTCAACTGCCATGCTGCACAGTCACCCAACAAGGTTGTCTTTACTTGGGTTGGAAGACAATGTAAGGAACAGAACAAGATGACATTTAAACAGCTTCAGGATCAATCCAATGCCGTGGCTGCTCATCTCATCAAACTGGGATGCCAAAAGGGCGACAGAGTCATGGTGGCCTATCCATTTGGCCTCGAGTTTTTGGCTGGCATGTTTGGTGCCATGAAGATCGGAGTTATCCCTTGCTCCATTTATCCACCCAACCCCAAGCAACTCAAAACTGAACTACCCAAATTCCGCAGATTTGCAGAGGATGCTGGAGCCAAGTATGCTCTTACCACCAACACATTTGCTACTGCCATGACTGCCGCTAGTGTCTTTTACGTGACTGGAGTGAAGTGGATTGGAACCGATCAACTGTCAATCAAGGGGAGCAAAGCCAAGAAACCAAAACACTTCAAGCAATTCGTGGGAGAACCCGACGCTATCTGCTTCATCCAGTACACATCTGGAAGCACTGGACGACCCAAAGGGGTCATGGTCAGTCACCACCATCTAGTTGAGACCTGCAGGGCCGGCATTTCCTTGACCGATTTAAACACCACTTCTGTGGCAGCTCTTTGGGTCCCACAATATCATGGTAATTAAGGTTGGCTGGTGGCTTGTGGCTTGTGGCTCATTGCTAGTGTGACAACTCATTCGTCTCCTGATTTTATACCTTCAATTTATTGCAGACATGGGACTTACAGGATTTATGTCATGCCTCTACACTGGAAGTAAACTGGTAGCGGCATCGCCACTAGACTTTATTGCCAAACCACTCCTGTGGGCGGATATGGTGGAGACATACAAAGCGACCCATACGTCAGCACCCAACTTTGCCTATGCCCTGCTCCTCAAGCGGTTGGAGCAAGCCAACAGAAAATCACACTGGAGTTGCATGAAGGCAGCGATGTTTGGCGGTGAACCAGCACAAAGCCATGTTGTGCAAGCAGTGGTAAAGACACTCTCCATCAAGCCTGAGCAGGTGTACAATATCTATGGCATGGCTGAAATGGTGGTATTTGTTACCGGGGGACCAGCCAAAATAGACTCTGAAGAAGGTCTTGTGTCTTGTGGCGTAGTAGATTCGCCTACTCTAAAGATTCGAATAGTTGAGGACGGAAATGAGGTTGAGGATGGGAAAGTTGGGAGCATCTGGGCGCAATCACCACGGGTGGCAGCTGGATATTATGGCCAGCCAGAGCTATCCAACTATACATTTGCCAATACTTTGCCCAGCTATGATGGCACCTGGCTAGACACTGGTGATTTGGGGAGAGCTTTGGATGGGCAGCTCTATGTCACTGGAAGAGTCAAGGATGTTATCATTATCAACGGCAAGAACTACTATCCGACTGATGTGGAGCTCTCTATTGATGAAACTTTTGGTGATATCATTCGCCCTGGAAGGACCACTGCCTTCCAGCATGGGGAGGATAGTGTCGGTGTCACAGTGGAAGGGAGGAAGGGCTTTGACAATTCTGACAACCAAGATTTGGCAGCCCAAATAGCCAACCATGTCTCCAAAATCCACGGGCTCTTTGCGTCAGAGGTAGTGGTCCTGAAGTTGGGTGTGACACCAAAAACCACCTCTGGCAAGCTGAAGCGAAGTGAGATTAGGCAGAAAACCATTGCTGGTGATTGGAAAGAAGCTTCCATACTACTTTAATTCAAGAGGCAGGAAGCCCTTACTCCTCTTCAGAAGAGTCAACGCCCCTCTTTCCTTGAGAGAAGCTTTTCAATGTGTGGCATTGCTAGCAATGAGTTTTACCTGAATGAAGAAACCGAACATGAAATCAGGAGGCAGTCTATGAGTACTGCTAACTGGAACTTTGAGGAGCTTCTTGACATTGACCTTAGCCAAGCAAATGCCCTGCCCAGCAAAGCTGTCGAAGCTGTTGAAGCTGTAGAATGCAACCCCAGTAAGTTGGATGAGTATTTCTCAGAGCTTCATCTTTCTGGGGTCTCTGGCATTGAAGAAGCGTGGTCCAAAGCTGTGAAGACAACAGAAGCAATGCAAGCCATATGCTCCCAAATCCTGAAGCATCTTGAGGGCAAGCACCCCACCATCTGCCAGCTTGCTGATACCTTATGTGGACATCCAGACTGGCTTTTGATTGAGGACAGGACAGATTTCCTTTTGCAGCTTGTGCACCAAATCTTTGTCCTGGAATGGGTGACAACCTTCATGATGGATAACCCAGAGTGTATGCAACAAAAGTTGCAGAATGATGCTGAGTGGGAAAACACACATGAGACTACTAAGAAAGTCCCAACCGAGCTACAAGAGATGCTTGACCTCCCAGATCAAGACCCCATTTATGGGAAGTTGCCATTCTTCCATTGGATCAAGAGTAGGTCAGTTGCTGCACTACTGAAACTTGTCCTACAAAGTTTGGGATCATCAGGCCCTACCATCAATGCCCAGGTTGAAAGAATCAATAACCTCCTGTGTTTAAACTTGTTTGAGGCTATTTGGGTTGAGCAAAAACATGGACACAAGGAAAACTCAGAAGTTGGGAGGAGACTTGCTACAAATCCTGTTATGACAGCCACAACCCAATCCAAGAAGGTTTTTATGGAGTATGTATCCAATACAAGTGCTATGAATAATCTGTACATTGATTGGCAAATTCATATTGTGGCCTGTAAGTTGCATTTCTAAATTCCATCGTGGGCAGATCTGATAAAATCTCACTGTTGCAATATTCTGTTGATTCTTCCTTCAGGGGTTGGAGACAGAAATGCTTCCAGCTGGTTGGTTTCCAAATTGCTGCTTCCCTGCATCATCGGAGATGTCGGTGCAAATTTCTTCTATGCAAGGTTGATTAGTCTGTACCTGGTTACACAGGTCACGGGAAGGAAGCTGATGCCGAACAAGTTTCATAATGAACCGATCCTGTCAAGAAGAGCACTGCATTATTTTGGAAAGCTGAACCTCTCCTGTGCAGAAAAGTTTGGATACACCCCACTGGCTCCAAATAGCAAACATCAGCTTGCTCTTGATGAAGAAAACTGGATGTCCAAATTTGACCAGTGGGGGTTGGCTGACCATCCAGCTAAGGCAAGCACTGCAGACTCCAGGTTGCATGATACTAGAGTTTCTGAAACTGTGGGCTCAGACAAAGTGTCTGCAGCGATAATGTCTGTGTTTGGGTCGCATGTTGACACATCCAAGACTTGGGCAGAAAATGGACTCACATCCCTCAAGAGTGCCGAGCTGAGGAACACAGTAGAGGAACAGTTGCATGTGGTCCTTCCGGCCAACTTTGAACAGCTTTACCCAACACCGAATGCACTCTCGCTGTTTTTGTCAGTTTCAAACAGCAGGAGTTTTCCCATCGAAGAAGCTTGCAATCACTCGAATTTTCTGTGGAAATCGCCAAGATCCAAGCTCAGCAAGCCACAGCTTGGATTGCTGCAAGCTCTGGGATCGGTGATGATTCTCCTCCTGTTTCTCAGTTCCATTCTTCCTTCCTACTTCCTTGCCTCCTGGGTGATGGACCACTGTGAATCAAACAAAGTTGGGGAGTGCAACAGCCCAGTTGTTTGGATTCTTTTGCCCCTGTCCGTCCCTCTGTATCTGATCTCTTTTTCTGTCATTGTGGTTTTCTGCAAGTATGCAGTAATTGGAACGTATTTGCACAGGCAAATTGAACTCTTGTCTTGGGGCTACCTTCAATGGTGGTTTCTTGACAGACTTTTGGAAGTCTGGGAGTACTTTGTGGGGCTGTTTATTGTGGAGACAAAATTCATTTGGCTCTTCTACTGGCTTCTTGGGGCAGACCTGGCATGGAGCACCAGGATTGAATCCTTTATCCGCGAGTTTGATCTTGTGACCATTGGGGAAAACGCTGTCATCAGCCACCCTTTAAAGTGCAGGAAATTCTCCCAATCAACAGAAACAGGACCAACAGTTACATTCCGACCAATCATTATTGGAAACAGCTGTCAAGTGTCTGGGATGGTCGGTCTGGGTGCTTCCATTGGGGATACCAGTAAGGTGGAGAAACTATCTGTTGTTGAAGAAGGGGCTCAAGTGCCAGATGGTGTACTTGCCAGAGGCAATCCAGCATGCCATTCTGGCATATTTGAGCCTTCAGAATCATGGTACTGGGAAGAAAATCTGCTGGATGCCTTCAAGATAGATTGGCTTTTCCTTGAAGCATATCACTACTTTGCCCTGTCCTTCCTTGTGCATACCACACTCAACAAAATCTTGCCCTCTTGGCGCTATGCTGCCATCCTCCATTGGTTCCTGCTTTTTTTTGTCACTGCCCTCCTTGCCCCCGTTCTCCTCCTTGCCCTCTCACCAGCATTGCACTAAATGGCTTCTGATTGGGAAAGGAACCATCAGAGATACGGTGGTCACTTACGCCGGGCAACCAACTGGGCCTGTGACTTCCACTTCCGTGTAGCTGCTCGGACTCTTACCCCCTTCATTGGTGTGACCAAACTCTGGCATTCATTCTCTTCCTCCATGGTCTTGATGTTGATTGGATTAATCTCAAAACCATACATATCTTCTTCCCGTCCAAGGTGGACTTTGTCAAGATCCGCAAGTCTTTTGTTGCGACGATCTCTCTTGACTTCAGGAAGCAATCAACCTCCAAGATTGAGATTATCAAAAGCAGCATTGGTTATGGTGTCAATCTGCGTCCTCAATCCCGCCAAGGCTGGATGTGGCTGGTAATGTCTACGATTTGAACCCCTCAGGTCGGGCCTCGCAACCCAGCATATTTATGGACTTTGTCCTTCCAGAAGTCACACAGATATTGCTGACTGTGGTGCTGTTTGCCTCCCTCATACCTTCCTATGAGCTTGGACTTGCTTTCATGAACAATGCAACAACTGGTGTGGCTGTTTTTGTTCTTCTGGTGGCTGTCCTTCTGCAGTTGTTTGTATGGGTTTTATCCTCCCGAGTTTTTGAAGCAATACAGTTGAATCTTCCAACTGGTGTTCAACTGAGAACATTTGGAGCTTATATCACAAATGTTTGGTTTTTCCGGGTTCAAAACGTGTTGGAACTACTGCTTGCCGGGACCCCGATGTTTCCCTACTATGCGCGCATGCTGGGAGCTGAAGTGGAAGGGGATCTCTGGTACTTTGGTAATGCTCTCTATGAGTGTGGAAAGCTTCACTTTAAAGGGTGCACAATAGTGGACAACGCCCATGTGAGTGCCCACTACATTGATCGCAAGGGGCTAACCATTGCTGGCACCCATGTTTCTGGAGTGCTGCATCCAGGATGTTATGCATCTGCTGGCTCAGTAGTATCCTATGCCAAACATGGTCCATGGAAGGTCTTCTTGAGAAGCGATGCAGCTGTCAAGGACTCAAACCTTGTTTTGAGTGAGTGTCGCCAGAGTACCACAGATTTGTTCATTGATGAGAGCCCAAGGGCTTGTATTTTGAATCATGTGGTACCCGATGTGTAGCATGGTAATATGGATAAGAATTGGCCATTGAGCTGGGTCGTACATTTTATAATCAACCACTAGAAGTCACCGGGTCCTAGGAGCATGTGATGTACATTTTTAGTTCATGCCTTCAGTTTCCGTGGCCACCGGAGCAGCTAAAACTTTGGCGTGACGGGCTCTGTCACCAATCGCCAACTTCACGAAGTTTGCTTGCATACAACTTGTTTGTCCATGCCTCCAGATTGATACAGTAGAGGCGATGGAGGCAATGGTGGTCCTGTTGCCACCCATCAAGCAGCTATCGAAGCTGCTTCTTCTGCTGGAGCTTGTTCCTCCACGGATTCACGAGGGATGGCAACGCCAAAGGAGCAAAGAAAATTCGATCATTAGAGCTAGGGTGAACCTGAACTGTACCGGTACCAGTAGCCGGGAAGTTGATGCCAAGGAGGCACGAATGCAAACGCGTGCACCGCTCTTGCCCAAGATTTGGGCAAGACCAATGCTAATTCCAGCGAAAGAACCAGCCTTCTTCTCTACGCGTTCCGCTCAGACTTGTAGCCGTGAAGAAGCTCATTATTCTCGAAAGCAACAGCCGCGAACCCTTTCAAGTTATCTATCTATAGAACCACCAACACCAGCGAACGAACATGGAACAAGTATCAGATCATTCGTTGACATCCTCCGTGCTGGAGCAGCACAATACCGCTTCGAACGAGGCTCCCTGCAAGGAAGTTCAGGAACAACACGATCAAAGTGGCGAGACGGCTCACACCCACCTGGACGACGAAGATTCCACGCACAGAGCCGAAGACGACGAGGAACAAGAGAAAGAAGGACCCGCCGCACCTGAGGTCATTCAAATTGATGTGAAAACTCCTCCTTCCGTGATCCCGCTCGATGTCTTTAGCATCGTGGCTCGACAGCAGCAACAACGCCGATTGTCGCAGCAGCAGCAGCTACAACAAAAACAACTGGAAGAAGACAAGTATCAACTCTTGGTCTTGGTCTCTCTGTACGGTCAAGCTGGAAACCGTGAAGCCCTGACCCAAATGAACCGGACATTGACCATTCTCAAGGGCAACCTGGGAGAGTTTCCCTTTGGTCTCCTGGATGCCTCGGATCCCGACAATGACGACTTGCGAGACGTTCTCTTGGACATTTCACAAGCGGGTCACTCGTATCCCCAATTCTTTCTCGTCAAGACCAAGAATGATGATCCCACCATAGCGGCTGACAGCAGCCATCAGGATTGGACCTCATATTACAGCGACATTCAATTCTTTGGAGATTATCACGACTTTTTCACCGCCAATGAACGACAAACCTTGCGATCGTCGTTTCTTTCCAAAACACCGTTGACTACTTACAGTAGTAGTAGTAGTAACATCCTTACAACAGATGAGGAAGCCGTACTGGAAGAGGAAGAGGAACACGAAAACGATGAAAAGCTGTCTCATGCCACCGCGAACGAAGAAGAGGTAGCAGAGGTACAAGAAGAAGTGCAGGAAGAACGCACCGAAGATCCTGCTTGTGGCGAGGAGGACGACCATGACGACGAAACACCAGACCACGACAACCAGCCATCCGAGACTGCACCAACCGCGGTGGAGGAAGAGGCGTTCAACGTGAAAACGGTTGGTGCTGTCTCGGATGAGGCGTTCAACGTGAAAACCGAACAAGACGCAAACACCACAACCGCAACCTCGCAGGTCACGGATACCCTTTCGACATCTGAGGAAGCCACAGAGCCAGAAATGGCCACCAATGTACCGGTAGCCGCACATGACTCATACCGAGATCCGGACGCGGAAGAGCCTGTTGAAACTCCAGCCGAAGACGACGAAAGTCCCAACGAAGAAGCAACTGCCGACGAATCAGCTGATATGATGGTCGAGCATGTAGATTCGCAGGTTGATGTCATCGCCGCGACCACTGAATCTGAATCCTACGAAGAGGAGCAACTCCAGGACGACCTTGACAACAGCAGCCCCGTGGAGGAATCGGAAGCGCCTGAGGTTTGCCAGGACGACGAAAGTCGCAACAGCTCGGCTCCTACGGATGACCAGGAGGAAACCGCAGCGCCTACAGAGGAAGCGGACGTGTCCAAGCCGGAAGAAGGAAATGCTCCCCAAACGGAAGAAATGGCGGAGGCTGCCACAGTCGCTGCCACGGAAGGAACAACTGAAGCAAACGACGAAACCGCCCCGTTGGCGGGGGCTCCCAGTGCGGTTGTGAAAAGCAACAACAACGGCACCAAGAAGAGCAAGCGAAGAAGCAGCAAACCCCCAAAGGAGCAAATGAAAAAAGTGGGGCCACTTCGACTAAAAGTTCCATTGTGGGTCGATACTTGGATGCTGATGGAAGGGGATCCCTTGGTACGAACCGAGGAAAGCATTCGACGTCGGGTGACGGCGGGCCAATGCGTCGAAACCATTCATACCATCACTTTGATTACGCGCCGTGGAGAACGCACCACTCAAACACACACCGTAATCTCGGACCCGTAGTTCTATAGACAAACTTTCATTATTTATCCTAATTGATAGGCAACCAGCACTGCACTGGCTAGCCAGTTCCAGTGTCATCAATGTCGTTGCCTGCGCCTAAGGAGCCTAGCTACAGGTATAGTTGGCGGGCCAGGTACGGCATATCTCGAAGATCGAGCTCGAATTGACATGCCCTACGCCAGCCTACACACCTCATTCGGGCTCGGCATTGGTTATGCGGTTCCCAATGGCAGCGACTGGCCTCTGCCATTGTTGCTTGCTCTAGTCGATGATCGAGGGGTAGAAGACCCAGCATTTTCCCTCCGATTGGGCGTCATTGTCAGTTGCTTTTCAATACTTTGTGCGAAAATATGAAAAAAGTCCAGTCATGTTGATTCAGTACCGTTCTACCCGTGCGCCAAACAGCAATCTGGTAGCCGCCAAACCTCCCATACTAGCTATTCATGTATGTAGACCTAGATTGGCCCTGCGGGCCACCAACATAGGCAAAGAGAGGGTAGAGCACGTTCTAAAAGAGGAGTCTATTGGTACCACATGAGCGGCTGGTGTGTGGTTGAGTGAGAGTCAACTCTAACCTGAAGCGGCTACACTGTAGCCGATCTAGTGTGCGGCCGAGCCTAAACGATAGAGGGGTCTCTTGGGCCCAATCATACCCTACTGTACCGGTAGCTTTCAAAATAATTATCAAATTTGCAGTCGGTTCTGTGTTCCTCATTTTCTTTGGCGAGCAAGATTTATTTGTGTCTTGTGTTGCCAATATGATTTATTTGAAACTGTTGCGTGCCAGTCTTCCGTTAGTAATTCCTTTGCTCCCTCTACATGTACAGTAATTCCTTTAGAATTTGGAAAGCTTTTGACAGAGTCATTCGTGTGTACAATGACCTTGAGTATACATAGGCGTGTAAAAAGTACATGTAATTAGAAATCACGACTTCCTTGAGACTCTCGCAACTATGCATAGCTAACTACTTGAGTGGAGTATTTAGTATAGCTTCAGTAGTACTGGTTCTCTGAATACAGTATTATGCTACTATGATCTTTTAGAAACTCAAATGGTGCATGGACAATATGTCATATTCCTTAAGTTGCACGTTCCGAGTATTGACGTCACAGTTGCGGCTTTTTAAACAAATCTGGGTAAAAAAGTAGAAAAGTGATCAAAAAGCAAAACAAGTCGAGCTGGTGCTGGTACCAGCCCGCAGTTTTAGTCCATAATTTCCCTTGGATTTTCGATTGTCCAAGATGCCTGTGTTTGAAAATGGACAATCCTGCACAGAACTTTTCTCCTCGTGCAATCACGTGGTTACAAGGCATGAAGGATGGCTATCCCAACCAGCCCACAATTTGAAGTCGAAATCCTGCACTAGTCTAGCTAGCCATCGCTGAATGTTATCGTACTTGCCATCGATCTATCTGTATTTCATAAAAAGCCAATCGCAACAACATCCACAAGTAAACAACACAACAACGAAAGAAACATGGTATTCCACAAACAATATGCGGATGGATCACCCAGACCTCTCTGTCGAGGTTGGTTGCATGGAATGAGTGCCCTGACGTCTCTGTCACTAACCTACAAATACTGGAATGAGATCCCGTCAGTGGCCACCCCCGTGGTGATGAATATCTGCTGCTTGTTTGTCATTTCAAGTCTGGTACACTTGGTTCCTTGGCAATCCAGGACACTGGAAGAAGCAATCACCAGAATAGACAAGGCTTGTATCTTGGCTCTCTGTTGGACTTCCTTATTTCTGACCCCACAACTACACGAGAGTGATGCCTGCAGACCCGACTTTGTGTTCTCCTTGGTAACAGCGGCCATCCCGGTTGGTTTGGGAGTTATGGGGGTACTTTGTGGTGCTGGTCCCATTGCCTTTGGTGGCTTTTTCTGTGCTGTGGCATCCAGCATGTGGCATTTTGGAATGCAGGTAGAAGACTCGGATGTTTTTTACTGCATTGTGGGAAGCACTGCTCTCTATGCCATTGGCTTTGGCCTGTATGGCAGCCAAGCAGGTGGTCATCATCCCGTTTGGGGCTACCATGAATGGTTCCATTTGCTGGTCGCCATTGGCAGTGTCATCAGTGCTCAAGCAGTGTTTTCCTTTAGTGCCTACACAAATGAAATCTGCAGTCTTCCCGGTGGAAGCAGCAGCAGCACATTGGCGGAATCTGTGGTGGGCATTGTGACGAGTAATTCCACCAACTACACAGCAGAAGAGTTCTACAGTAGTACACCTGCAATTCAAGCGGAAGCAGCCGTAGAATTGTTGGTGTGGTCCGGACTGAAGCTTGACCTGTCTTTCTTACCAGCTGGGTTATAGAAAACACAGAATGAAAGGAACAAAACGGGGGCTTGGCTTTGCGGGATCCATGGAGACATAAATGAGTAGCTTTAACTACTAGCTAGTATACTGGCACAGCTTATCTTTTATCTCCTTCATTATTACCTGTACGGCTGCTCTCCCATCTCTTGGCTAAGAAGTGGTCCAAGACCGACCTACTTTGTGGTTCGCTCCTATAGTACCGGTATGTTTCCGCCCGATTACGCAAAGCCGTTGCTCGAGCAGCTATGATGTGCCTCCGTGGGTCTCGTGTTCCTGCTACTTCGCCCAGCATTGGGACGATCACGTTACTCTTTGATCTCTTCCGCTTTTGATCCATCCACCGTTGCATGACTGCCTGGCTGGCCTCATTCCTTGCTACCCTCCGATGCTCTTTTGGCTCTCCGGCTCTTCCACATGTCTCAATTGCACACGTCTAGCTAGCTCACGCTCTCTAGCTAGAGATCATTCCCACCCATAGTCCACTCTATAACCGCATGATAACTGAATCTCCCGTTTCATGTAACGGTGGTTGTAATCTTACAGGGTTTTAGAGTAGGGAATTAACTTAGACTATCTATACGACACCTTACAAAGTACTACATGTGAGTAGATCTGAAGAGATCTGGTTTGATGTTCCCGCCATCAAGGCCGGTGCTGTCATTGGCAATTGGCAGTACCAGTATGGTACGGACGGAAGCACTGGCTGGTTGCTGTAGCCGTCACGAGCTGTGTATTCTCATTCATCCATCCACAAGAAGCACTGCTTCCACTCATTCATCACAACAAAGAGCCATGCATTCAGTGTTAGAAAGAAAGCAAGAACGCCGTCAAACTTTCCTCCACTGAAAGCAAAGGCACAAATGAACCAAGTACTGCGGCTGGGTGGCATATGCATGGATAGCGTCGATGCCAAACAGGACAGGAACGGGAATCGAATCCCCTCCTTCTTTCTCTCCCTGTTCCCCACCACCACTGCCCCTACTCTGCCAAGCTTAGCCCCCCTCACTCCATACACCATCTATGAGATATAGGAGGAATGGATCTAAACTCGAAGCGCCGAGGACAGACTACAGTACAACAAGAACAGCGACCACTACTACTAGACAGTCGCAAGTCACTACTACTAGTAGACTGCATGCTATCAACAACAAGAAGGAGCCATCGGTCGTCGATGGAAAATAAAAGTAGCAACAAGGTCAAGCGGCGCAAGAAAGGTGTCCGCAGAAGAAGCACGAAGTTGCACGGAGCCAGTGCGATCCAAGCTCCCATTGCATGGTTCGTGCTTGCGGTCAGATGGGACGACGGATCGTTCCAATAAGCCGTCAAAACAGCGGTGGGCCAGCGCGTGTGATACGATACCACAAGTGCAACAAGAGCAAGAGCAAGCAAATGAAATGACGGACTTATACTCGATCGAGTACTAACGACAGGAGAAGCACTGGAATTGCTCAGCAATAAAATGATCCCGCCTCTTCGAATCTCTACGACGCTCTGGGCTAGCTAGATGTAGCATGCAAGAGACCTGATCGTTCTACAAGAATCATACCAGCCAGAGTGTGTGCGTCAGTCTTCCCTGTTGTTCTTCAAGCAAGCTCTGTTGGCAGGGAGTGAGTGAGTGTGTGCGGTCTAATGTTGTCCGCTCCAGTGCGGAAATGCAAGAGATGGATATATATAAGTGCATCCGCCCACACCTTTTTCGACACACGAGGCCCTGATGCATGCTACGGAAACGGAATCGAAACTACCTCAGCTTAGTAATTACGTCGCATCTTATTCACGGAGCAAGTGTGATCTGGAGGATGCGTCATTCGCTCACCGTGCACCTCTTCTGTCGTATTTTCCTGATTCGATTCTCTGTATTTTAAATGATGCTGCTGCTGTGGCTTGCTTCCTTTCCTGCGTAGGAGCTCGCCTCCGTCCTAGACAACTACAGCAATAATAAGCTGGCCAGCAACCAGGAGGAACATGTAACTCCAGAGCCTGCTTTTTTAAAATTCATAGAAATCTACTAAAATAAATGGTGAAGGAACGAGGGAGCGAGACAAAATGGCCTCCTCTGGTGCACGATGGGAAAGGCACGTAGAGGGCGGACCGGGTGGCTCAGCGTCTTATTACGGGAAACGGAGGGCCGCGCTTCGACACTCGACACAGGCGACATGGCTTTGCAGCCAGCGGATAAAGTCCGAGTCTGAGTCCCAATTAACATCCACCAGAAGCACGACCCATGAGCAAGCCTAGCTCACTGATATCCTCGCGGGACCCATGTGAGTGCTAACTTGGAAGCAAAACCGTCCAACAAACTTCTAAATAAGCCAGCGGAGCTGTGTAACCTCGGCAGAAAGGTTTCAGTGTAGAAGCAGATACCCCTATTAGCCAGCTAGCTAGAAGCAGATACCTCTAGTGCTTAGCTAGTGCTTAACTTGCGCTTAGCTAGCTAGAAGCAGACCCCCCCTAGCTAGAAGCAGATTCCCATAGCAAGCTAAAAGCAGATACCCCTAGCTAGCTAGAATACTAGTTATATAGGTTTCTCTGGCTTCAGAGTTTTTCCTGGTAGAAGCAGATCCCCCCTACTAGGATGCATGTAAATAGCTTTAGCTGGTTTTTAAAGAAAGCACCATCCTAGGATACTTATTTAGTTTTTGCTGGCTTATTTGCATTCTAACCCTACCCTTATACCTGCAGGGACCGCCGTAGCAGGGAAAACAATTAAAGGGGTTGAGGGCTCTGGCAGGAAGACTGCCGAGGTAAACATAACCAAACACACAGCAAGCAAGGATGTTATCCAGTCATCTAAAGAGCTTCATTTTCTCCATGGTGGTAGGTTGAATGGCTTCTTCGTAGATCCTCGGTGGAATCCAGGCCATCACTTGTCAAGAAAACCTTCCAGGGACCATTCTCTTCTCTGTCCACAACAGAGCCGGCAACGGCAAAGCATCCAGGATGCAAAATGCCAGATGCATAGGTGTCACCAACAGTGAGTCCATTGCCATCAATATAATGGCCATTCAAGCTGGAGCTGTCCACGATTGTGCCACCTTGGAAATGAAGTCTACTGTATTCATAGAGAGCATGTCCAAAATACCAAAGATCGCCATTCACTTCTGCTCCCATGAGTTGTGCATAGTACGGAAATAGTGGTGTTCCATAGAGAAGCATCTCCAGCCAGTTGCCAACGCGGAAGATCCAGACATGATTAATGTAGACTCCAAACAAACTCTGTTGAGCACATCTTGGAAGAATCAACATGATCTTTTCAATCACAAAAGTCAGGGAAATCCACAAAATCAGTACAAGGAGAAAGGCTGTGGCAGAAACAAAAACAGAAAGAGCATCAGGGGTGCCCTTTACAGCAGCCAGTCCAATCTCATAGGATGGAATGAGAGTAACAAACAGGATCACATTCAGCAGTAGTTGTGCAAGTTCAGGAAGCAACATGCCCATGGTGAAACTAGGCTTCCATGCCTTTGCTGAATGATTCATATCATAGACATTATCCGAAACATCCAACCTAGGTGGGATCACAGATTGCATGATCTTGGCACCAGCATGCAGGTTGACACCATAACCAATGCTGCTTTTGATAATCTCAATCTTGGAATCCCTTCTATTGACAAAGTCAAGAGAAATTGTAGCAACAAATGACTGACGGATCTTCACATAATCAACCTTCGAAGGGAAGAAGATCAGGTAGGGGTTGTTCAGAAGTGATTCCATGTCAACATCAAGGCCATGCAGGTAAAGGATGATGTTCCAAAGTTTGGACTGTCCAAAGAAGGGAGTAAGAGCCCAGGAAGCTGCTCGGAAGTGAAAGTCACACGCCCAATTGGTTCCTTGTTTCCAGAGTGAACCCTCATATTCGTCTGTTGGATCACGTTTCCCAATCAGAAGCCATTTGAGAGGAATGCTTGTGAGGATGGCAAGAAACGAAGTGCCTGGAACAAGCAAGAACCAATGGAGGAGAGTAGCATAGCGCCAGGAGGGCAACAGTTGGTTCAGTGTCATATGGACAAGATATGACAGTGCAAAGAAGTGGTAGGCTTCAACGATTGTCCAAACAATCTTGAAAATATCCAACATGGACTCTTCCCAGTACTCTGATTTGGTGTGCTCAAACGAGCCGGCATGGCACGCCGGGTTTCCTTTGGCAAGGACACCATGTGGTACCATGGCTCCCTCTTCGACAACAGATAGTTTCTCCACCCTACTACCATCTCCAATCTTGGCTCCTGGGCTGACCATACCAGCGATTGTGCAGTCATTTCCGATGAGAATTGGCCGGAAGGTCAACTTTGGGCCTGAATCTGCAGACTGGGAAAATTTCCTGCAGTTGATCATGTGCCCAATAGTAGCATTGCTCCCCACCTTTACAAGATCAAATTCTCGCATGCAGGATTCAATCTTGGCAGACCATGCAACATCTGCTCCGAGCAGCCTATAGAAGATCCAAATGTATTTGGTCCCAACAAAAAATTGTCCCACTATAGCTTCCCAAAGATCAATGAGCCTGTCCACAAACCACCAGCGAACATAGTCCCATGATAAGAGATCAAACTGATCATGCTTGTATTTCCCTACAACAGTCACCTTGCAGACTACTACAATCACTGAAAGGGACAGTAGAAAGAGGGGGAATGTTATGGGCAAGAAAAACCATGAGATTGGACCATTGCAGCCTCCACCTTGAGATGAGCCACATTTGTCCATGACCCAGGAAACAAGGAAGATGGATGGAACCAATGAGCTAAAGAGCAACACGAGGATCAGAATGAAGCCAAGAGTTTGGATTGCTCCTAGCTGTAGCTTGCTCAGCTTTGATATTTCTGAGTTCCACAGGAAGTCAGTGTGATCATCTGCAATTTGCTTGGGGAAGCTCTTGCCCTCTGATGCTCTCAAAAATACTGATAGTTCACTGGGTGTTGGGTAGAGCTGTTCAAAGTTGACTGGAAGGACCACACGTAACACTTCTTCAACAATGTTCCTCAGCTCAGCACTCTTGAGAGATGTCAGTCCATTCTCAGCCCATGTTTTTGATGTGTCCACTTCAGAACCCAGAACAGATGTGATTACATTGGCATATTTGATGGAGAAGTCATCTGGATTTGTAGATCCACATCCATCTACAGACCTATTTGAGTTGGGATCAGGGCTGCTTGCCTGCAACTCACTCCTTGTGGGCACACTGCCAAGGCCAACATTCCCAAATGGTAGTGTCATTGATCTTCTCATGATTTCACTTTGAGTTCCTTCTGACAAATAGAACTCACTGCTGGTAACCCCATTCCTTGCAAAGCTATGCTCAAGGAAAGAGCTCTCCTCGAAAGGTGATTCATTTGCCTGTCGTTGGAATCTGAGGAGCACAGAGGATTTCTTCCAATTACCAGCAATAGTGGTCTGCCGGATCTCACTCCTCTTCAACTTTCCTGAAGTGGTCTTTGGAGTAACACCCAGCTTGAGAACCACAACCTCTGTAACAGAGAGCCCATGAACTTGGGACACATGGTTTGCTATCTTAACAGCCAAATCTACATTTGATGAAATGTCAAAGTCCTTGCGGCCCTCAACTGTGACACCAATGCTGTCATCTCCATGCTGAAAGGCTGTTGTTCTCCCTGGGCGAATGATGATTCCAAAAGTTTCATCCACTGAAAGCTCCACATCAGTTGGATAGTAGTTCTTGCCATTGATAATGATAACATCCTTGACTCGTCCAGTTACATAGAGCTGTCCACCCAAAACTCTCCCCAAATCACCAGTGTCTAGCCAGGTGCCTTCGTAACCAGGCAAGCAGTTGGCAAAGGTAGAGGCAGTCAGCTGTGACTGGCCATAGTACCCAGCTGCCACACAAGGAGACTGGACCCAGATAGTCCCAACTTGTCCATCTTCAACCTCCTTTCCATCCTCAACTATCCGAAGCTTGACAGATGGAGAGTCTACTGGACCACAGCAAACGACCCCATCAGAGTCAGGGTAGGCAGGTCCTCCTGTGAGAAACACAACAGCCTCAGCCAGTCCATAGAGGTTGTACACATGTTCTCGTCTGATAGAAAGGGTTTGTGCCAACTCCTCCACTACATGTCTCTGGGTGGGTTCCGCAGCAAACATAGCATGAGTGACATGACTCCAGTTGGCATTTCTGTTGGCCTGTTTCAACCGTTTCAGTAGCAATGCATAGGCAAAGTTTGGAGCGCAAGTATGAGTGGCTTGGTAGGTCTCTACCATATCAGTCCACAACAGGGGCCTCATGATAAAGTCGATAGGTGATGCCATGATAACATGAACTCCGGCATACAGAGCGCTCATAAATCCCGACACAAGCCCCATGTCTGAGAAAAGCAAAAAGCCAATAATACGCAGTCAGGGACACAATCGATTATTTTCCTTGGGAGCAGGTACACAAAATGCTGCTTACCGTGATATTGTGGGAGCCACAAGGCTCCCACAGCGTTTGTGCCTAAAACTCGTGAAATGGCCCAAATGTCTTCCACCAGGTTGTTGTGACTGATCATGACTCCTTTGGGACATCCCGTACTACCAGATGTGTATTGGATAAAGCAGATGCCTTCTGGCTCTCCCACAAACGTCTCATACTCTTTGGGTTTGTTTGGGTTGCGTTTCTTGATTGTTAGCTTGTTGGTCCCAATCCAAGCGACACCAGTCTTGTAGAGGACACTAGCGGCAGTCATGCCAGCAGCAAAAATGCTAGTGGATAGGGCATACTTGGCTCCGGCATCCTTGGCAAAACCACAGAACTTTGGCATTTCTGTCTTGAGCCGGTTGGGATTGGGTGGATAAATGGAGCAGGGGATGACCCCGATCTTCATGGCACCAAACATGCCAGCCAAGAACTCGAGGCCAAAGGGATAGGCAATCATGACATGATCTCCTTTCTTGCATCCGAGTTTGAGGAGACGAGAAGCCACAGCATCGGATTGGTCTTCCAGCTGCTTGAATGTCATCCTGTCCTGCTCCTCACACTTGATGTCGACCCAAGTAAAGACGACCTTGTCCGGTGTCTCCAAGGCATGGTGATTGAGGGACTCGAGGATAGTTGAGAAGGACTTCATGGTTGTTGTTGATGTGTGGTGGACTGATATTTGCTTCTTTATTTTATGAGGAAAGGGGGCTGAAGCGGAGAGCTTGTTGTGATGTGGCGAAGCGGAGAGCTTGCTTGGAAAGCGAAGAAAAAAGTAATATCGATGGATGGTCTTCGCATGCGATGACATACCAGTACATGTACTGTTTTAGCCTCTGAAGAAGCCACAGACGGACAGAGCTTTTGTTCTTTTTGTTCTTCCTACTTCTGTAACGATGCGGGTGGCTGTGCTAAGGTATAGGGCTAGAGCTTATTTCGACTGATCAGTACTCTGGCTAGTACGGCACCTAATCCCGAATCCTGGTCGTTCCAGAATGGAATTTGATTCAACTTGGATTGACTCGACTTTCACTCACTTGATGAATCCACCGCTACTCGTCTCTCAGTATGAAATGACAAATGGGGTTTAACGCTTTTGCGTCAACAAGAATGAGATTTCCCAGGGCAACAATACATGTATCCAAACCTCTTCCACTTGCTTTTGATCAACCGAGAGGACTCCACTCCACTCCTTTCGACGCAATGGTAGTTCATCCGCAGTGCAGCAGATATATGGTATCTCACGGGCAGCGCAGTAGCAGATACTAGTAGATAGATATGAGTTTAAATTGTCATTGGCAGCTATAGAGCTGGCTAGCGATGTAGGCTCTCATACTACATACCATAACCCGCGTTGCCACAGACCGGAGATTATGGTGGGAATACTTACTTTGACTGGACTGGAAGACTGCCTCCTGACATTCTTCGTTCCCCCTTAGACAGTCCGGTCTAAGCTGTTCGTACAAGTGCCTGATAAGCCTCCTGTTGAGTCTGACCGAACAAGATTTGGTGAAAGGAAGACACTAATTCTCGCAGAGCTGCTAATTAATAGTTGTGTTTCGAGCTGGGATATCATACACTTCTCCCTTGATATTAAGAGAGTTGGAGATCAGATGTCGACTACTGAGATTTGCTGGAATGTTAAGATACTTGAGACACTCAGATCTGCACTAGAGCTAAGATAGCCAGTAAGCACTCTCCCTTGGGCACATAAGAGATTGAGAGATGATACAATGACACTTTTCTACAGCAAAATGCCTTAAAAACTGGTGCCAAAAGTCAAAAATTTCGCCTCCGGCGGATGATACACTGCTCTTTCCTCTCTTCTCCTCCTAAGGGTATGTTCAGTAAGGTGGGAAGCAGAGCAGCAATGCTGGTATGTACCATACTACTAGTATGGTCAATAGAAATGGCTAGAAAGCTAAGATGTTGCCTTTGGATCCTGAATTTTGACAAAATGCTAAGAAGATTCTCAGTGCAGATATTTGAGTTTTGCTAAGATGCCTTGAGGGTTCAGGCGAACTTAGAGACATCTTAATACCAAGGTAGGCATGTACGGCTGCGGCAGTCTTGCTGCCAGAGCCTTCAACCCCTTCAAAAGCTAACAGACGAGGAAAGCCCCATCTCCAATTGAAGCTAGGAGTACCACTGCTTTGCCTAGCCTCGCCCCCCTCGCTCCTTAACGTATCTATTTAGTATTTATTTTCTCCTCACACATGTAAGACCTGGAAATGTTGGATCAAACATTCAACGGTAAGGCTCCATTATGAATCAGTGCCAGGCCGCAGACCTCGTTATAGGGCCTGCCCTTGTTGGCAACTATCGCAGCAAAGCCACATCGGATGGAGTGGTGGCCATAGCTATGAGGAAGGTCATGATTGACCGTTGGGCCAGGTGTGTCCACCAAGTATCGAAGAGCAGCCCGTTGTATGCTTCCTGTCGTCTGGTTCGGTTGAAACAGCTGTTGCAACAACGGTTTCGGTAAGCTTAGCGATTGAGGTAGATGCGGTAGCAGTTCTGTAGATAGAAACGGTTTGAATCCAAAGGTTTACCCTAACTCTCTCTGCTTTGAAGTGTCTTCCCTGCACAAAGGAGAAAACAGGGGGGTTTAGAGCAGGGAAATTATATCTAATACGGAAGCCTGTGAGGGCCCGCCAAATATGGGCACGATTATGGGTTCTTGACGATGACAAGGACGGAAACGCTGTTGCTACAGCAGGCACTTGGTTGCACTCCATTTGCACCTCGTTGGAATCGTTGGTCACAGGCAACTCGCAATGGCTGATGATACCACGCGAAAATTGACCAACGCGACGAGTATGCACCGGTGGATTCACTACATGACGCGGAGCTTGAATATCCAACGGGGCAGGCTGCTTCGCCCGAATTGCCTGGATTGAGCTTGAGTAAGATCCACGAGATGGATGCAGCCGTCTCGTGCTTCACCTACTGGCTGCGGTGGACGACTATTTGCCATCTTGGCTTTCATGTAAAAGATCTATTTATGCTGCCAGTTGAACTATTCTGAACCTTTGGGTTGGCACGGAATAGGAGCTATACTCGTGGCGCCTACGCTTTTGGTAGCTCAAGGCTCAAGGGTGAACTCGGGGTTGCCCACATCGGAGTTCTGCCACTTATTCTCTGTTTTCGAAACTGGTGTTTTGTTGGGTGAGTTTCTGCCAATGGGTTGATGATGTGGCCACTTTGCGGCGCCGACCGCTAGATTGGATCTTTCGGCTTTCGTGGTGTTTTCGCCCGACCTCTCGATGGTGAGCCATGCACCTTTCGGAAACGGGAAACCGATAGATTCTAGCTACGGTATTAGTGGGCTTTCAAAACAGCCACGCATCGTCCCATCAAAAGCGCCAGTTTGGAGCCCAAGAGCTTTCAACGGGTGGATGGTTCTCTGGCCTTGCGGCTGTCGCCTTGCCGCTGTCGCTTTGCCGTTGTCGCCTTGCCCCTGTGCCTTGAGGATTAATCAAACACACATGCAAGAAGACTGGGTAGATGGGGCGTGTTTAGAGTTAACGTTAATCCTTACTTAGTACCATGATTGTTTTCTACAAATTGTTTTGACCTCATCTACCTGAACTCCAAAGTTGCCGTCCAGGAACGGTGGTTCAAATGAAGCTGCATGGGCGCAGACGCTTGCTTCTCTCTGGCGGTGAGGTGATCCAATAGTTCATCCCAGTTATAGGTCTCGCATTCTTGACTTGATTTATAACGGGGGTTTGGTTCATTCGCTCATCCCAGATATAGGTCTCGCCTTCTCTACGTGTTCAACGGTTATAGGTCTCGCATGGCTCTCGAAGCAGCATCAAACTTTCCCATTTCATAATCAAAGACATCAACTAACTTAAGTTAACTTATCAAAGCAACCAGGCATATATAATACCGGTAGGCAACGAAAGTATCTCTTCTAATAAGAAACAAAACAAAAATATTATCAAGACTAAGCCAAAATGAAGTTTTTCTCAACTATCCTTGAGGCCTTGGCCCATCATTCTATGCAATCTCCCGACAAGGTTGTCTTTACATGGGTGGATATCAATTGCAAGGAAGAGAACAAGCTGACATTCAAACAGCTTCAGGATCAATCCAATGCTGTAGCGGCTCGTCTCATCAAGCTTGGCTGCAAAAAAGGGGATCGAGTCATGATTGCCTATCCCTTTGGCCTCGAGTTCATGGCTGGCATGTTTGGAGCCATGAAGGTTGGAGTCATCGCCTGCTCCATCTATCCCCCCAACCCCAATCAGCTCAAGACAGAAATGCCCAAGTTCCGTGGATTTGCTGAGGATGCTGGAGCCAATTTTGCTCTCACGACTAACGTGTTTGCTGGTGCAATGACAGCAGCCGGTGTCCTCTACAAGACCGGTGTCACTTGGATTGGGACCGACAAGCTAACAATCAAGAAACCGAAACCCAACAAGCCCAAAGGATACGAGACCTACAATGGGGAGCCTGAGGAGGTGTGTTTTATTCAATACACCTCTGGCAGTACTGGTCGACCTAAAGGAGTCATGTGCAATACACGGCTCTTAGCCTTATTCGCGACTCGATCCTATCGTGCACATGATCAGCCACAATAACCTAGCTGAGAACTGCAGGGCTGTTGGCAGTATGTCCAATGTGGATTCTTCTACTGTGGCAGCCCTATGGGTTCCACAATATCACGGTATGTTCTAAAGACAAGGGGCATATCATGATATGTTCAATTCTCACAGTATCCCCTTGATCCAGACATGGGCCTTGTTGCTGGTTTTATGTCTTCCCTCTACACAGGCATCCATCTTGTCATGGCATCTCCTTTGGATTTTGTGGCCAGTCCACTGCTTTTGACAGACATGGTGGAGAAATACCATGCAAACCTTACCTGTGCCCCAAACTTTGCCTACGCTTTGCTCCTCAAACGCTTAGAGCAGGCCAACCGAAAAGCTGACTGGAGTTGTGTGAAGCGTGCCATGTTTGGGGGTGAACCAGCCCAGATCCATGTTGTGGAAGCCGCAGCAAAGACCCTCTCCATCAAGCCTGAGTATGTATACAACATCTACGGACTTGCTGAGTCTGTGGTGTTCCTCACTGCTGGCTCTGCATACCCTGACTCTGAGGGGCTTGTCTGCTGTGGAGAAGTTGATTCCCCAACCCTCAAGCTCCGAATTGTCCAGGATGGCAAAGAGGTTGAGAAGGGACAGGTTGGAAGCATCTGGGCCCAGTCACCTAGAGTAGCAGCTGGCTACTATGGCCAGTCTGAGCTAACCACCACTACCTTTGCCAATATCTTACCAGGCTATGGTGGAAGCTGGCTTGATACTGGAGATTTGGGCAAGATTGCTGATGGGCAGCTCTATGTTACCGGGAGAGCCAAGGATGTCATCATCATCAATGGCAAGAACTACTATCCAACTGATGTGGAGCTCTCTATTGATGATCTCTTTGGGGATGTTATCCGTCCCGGGAGGACCACTGCCTTCCAGCTTGGAGAAGACAGTGTCGGTATTACAGTCGAAGGCCGCAAGGACTTTGATAAATCGGCAAATGCAGATTTGGCCGTAAAGATATCCAACCATGTGTCTCAGGTGCACGGGCTTCTTGTCTCTGATGTTGTTGTCCTGGAGTTGGGTGTAACACCAAAGACCACCTCTGGCAAGCTGAAGAGGAGTGAGATCCGCCAGACAACAATTTCGGGTGATTGGAAGGAGTCTCTGTGCTCCTAAAACTCCAACGGCAGACAATAATCTCGGCAAACAGAGCCTCTGTAGAGAAAGGCTCTTTCCTTGAGCATAGCTTTGCAATGAATGGGGTTGCAAGCAGTGAGTTCTATTTGTCGGAAGAAACTCAACATGAAATCAGGGGAAGATCGACGACTGTACCATTTGGATCTCTTGGCCTTGGCAGTGTTCCCGATACTGCAATTGCTGGAGCTGTGGGTCCAGATGACTTCTCCAACAGATATGCCAACACCATCACATCAGTCTTTGGTTACAAAGTTGACATATCAAAATCATGGGCTGAGAATGGACTCACATCTCTCAACAGTGCTGAGCTGAGGAACAGAGTGGAAGAGGATTTCCATGTGGTCCTGCCAGCACACTTTGCACAACTTTATGCAACTCCTAAAGACCTTGAAGAGTTTCTGGTGTCATCAGAAGGCCAACAATTTCCATGTAAAGCAGCTGCTGACCATTTCGACTTTCACTGGAGCAGTCCCAGGTCACACTGCAGCAAACTAGAGATGAGTCTTGTTCAAGTTCTGGGTTTCATAGCCATTATACTGGTGCTGTTGACTTCCATTTTCCCATGCTATCTTCTTGCAGCAACACTGCAAAGAAACTGCAGTATCTCTGAAGAGCAGCAGTGTTTGACGACCAGCTTCCTGTGGTTTCCACTCCTGTTCCCCCTAAATGTCTTTTCTTTTTCCATCATGGTGGTTCTTTGCAAGATTCTTGTTGTTGGTATGTACCGCCCCCAGGAAATCAATTTGATGTCCTGGCACTACCTAAGGTGGTGGTTTGTTGATCGATTGCTGCATGTTTGGGAACTTTTTGTTGGTAGATTCTTGTTGGAAACAAAGTTTGCCTGGCTCTTCTACTGGCTTCTTGGTGCTGACCTTGCATGGTCTACAAAAATTGATGCATTCATTCGAGAGTGTGATCTTGTCAGTGTTGGGGCCAATTCATCAGTTGGCCATGCTATACGGTGCAGAAAATTCAGGCCCTGGACTGAGGGCAGTCCCAGGATGGTATTCCGTCCAATCATTGTTGGGCCAAACTGCAACGTGTCTGGAATGCTAAGCCCTGGAGCTGCTATTGGAGCTGGGTGCATAGTTGAGAAATTAACTGTGGTGGAGGAAGGAGCTCAAGTTCCAGATGGTGTCATTGCCAGAGGAAATCCAGCACACAACGCTGGGTCATGCTACAGTCCCGAGGCAAACTTGTGGGATGAGTCCCTCCTTGGTGCCTTCAAAGTTCTCTGGATGTTTTCAGAAGCCTACCATTACGCTGCTCTATACTTCCTTGCCCATGCAATCCTCAAACACATCTTACCAATCTGGCGCTACCATGTTGTTCTACACTGGTTTCTGCTCTTTCCTCTGGCTTCATTGTTTGCTATGGTCACTAGCATCCTCTTGAAATGGCTATTGATTGGAAAGAGAGATCCATCAGAAGAGTATGAAGGGACATTGTGGAGAAGAGCAACCAACTGGGCCTGTGATTACCACTTTCGAACTGCTGCTTGGATGCTTGGCAAGTTTGTGGGGGCTTCCAGATTTGATACATTGGTTCAATGGTGCCATGGCCTTGATGTTGATGCTGTGTCAATTCTGCATACTGCCTCTACATTTTTTTCTCCTTCGAACGTTGACTTTGTGAAGATACGCCAATCCTTTCTTGCTCTTACTAAAATTGAATTGGACACTCCATCCAATGAGAAAATCAAGATTTCCCATAGCTCCCTTGGAAGAGACGCCATTGTTCATGCTGGCACGAAGGTCATCCGATCAAACCTACCATCCAGAAGTCAAGTCTGTGACAAAATATATGATTTGAACCCTCCAAACACCCAATTAGCAGTGTCGTGGAGCTTCATCCTCCTGGAAGTGATTCTTCCTGAAGTTGCCCTCCTGATTTTGAATGCCATCATCTTTTGGAGCATTGTCCCTACATATGAGTTGGCTTCAGCAATTGCAGGAAGTAACTCTTCCCCAAGTGTGCTTGTTCTGGCAATTGTGGGGGCTACTGTGTTTCAGTTCCTAGTCTGGATCCTCCTTGCCAAGATTATTGAGTGGGCCTTTCTCAATGTGTTGTCTCTCTCCATTCAGAAAGGATTCTTCCGTGTCTATACCTCTTATGTGAACAGCTTCCGTGATGGCAACCCCATCGAGGTGTTTCTAATGGGAACCCTATTCTTCAAGCGTTATGTTCAATTCATGGGTGCTGAAGTCAATGGTGATCTCTGGTTTTTTGACTGCACTCTCAAGGAGTTTGGCAACTTACACTTCCAGGACAACACAATAGTGGACAATGCCTTCCCCCGTGGACACTATCTTGATATCAATGGAATCACTCTAAATGATGTCTATATTTCTGGGATTGTGCACCCTGGATGCTATATTGCAGCTGGAGCTGTTGTGGAAGGCAGGGAAAATGGCCCATGGAAATCATTCTTTCCCTCAACTTCTGAGAAGGTTGCTCCTAGCAGGAAACATCCTTCTTCCAGGCAGAGTCTTCATGAATTTGATGCATAGTTAATCATGTGATGGCTGAGAAGGCTGTTTCTGAATAGCAGAGTTTCCAAAGTGGAACGAAAGTCTCTGTGACTGCTCAATCTGCCAGAACTCTTGATTTCATTATTTTGCTATATAGTGGATAAAGGTCTACTGTAAATCAAGCAAACCACTCTTGCTGGTGATACAAGGAATGGCATGACAGTTGGACTAAGACTGCTCACCAGCAACAAAGAACCAAAAGTTGCTTCGTGCTTCGTGCAATGATAAAACCACGTGAAGTTCCCTCCGGGGCAGCAAGCGAGTACCGGTATGCACTGTTGGATTAACTATACATACTTGCTCGATCATGACAAGGAGTTTGATATATCCAGTGGCGGGGCAGGTTGCTTCGCTCGAATCGCCTGGATTGAGTTTTGGTGCGGTGGAAGGAGAGGTCGATCGTGTTGGCCCGGATTTCACGTGCATGCTTAGTGCATAGCCCCCGGTGGACTATTTGCCATCTTCGCCTTTCAAAAGCTATCTATATTTATATTTATGCTGCAGGTACACAACAAATGCAAATAGAATTCTATTTTAAGGCTACTCTGAGTACGACTATCCACTGTGCCGCTACCCTAAACCGATAACCCCCACAAACATTGGGGCGGAGAGAGTTGGCCCCCTCAGCCGGGAAAGTTTAAAACCCAACCGAGGCAAGATATTAAGGGGAAGGTCACCAACCGGACCCGCCCGTGCTGCTGCTGTCATCAGCACTGCTACTAGCTGCACTATTGCTGATAGTGTCAACACTGCTGTCATCTAAATCAAGGTCAGACCCGAAAGCCTGAACCAAAGTTGCTGCTGCCTCATGGAAGGCTGCGGCCAGTTGTTGCTGCTCTCTACTTGCTTTGTCCACCACTGGCATCCAATTTGAAAGCCAGGCTTTGATATCGGATGGTGCCATTTCCATTTGGTCTCTAGTGCCTTTTGAAAATGGAGTGACAAGAGACAGTGGCACCTGGTCTGCCTCTCATACAGAAGCTCTACTTCCCGTTGAAGTGTTGCTGCTTCTTGATCCACTGCTGCTGTTTATCACGTCCATGCCTGGCTGCATTGCGGTCATCCCACAGTAGAAACATTGTTGGAGTAAGAGATGAGCCAAGTTGGTAGTCCATATTGGTACCGTTTTTCTTGGATGTATGCTTTTGAACATGATGGAGATAGTCTCCCTGGTGCTTGGTCCACAATTTGGAGAGTCGGCCCTTGAGGAAGTTGTTCCACCCAATGTGGTTCTGGTCGATGACCAGTTGATCATACCTTTCTGGGAACTCAGATGGGTAAAGATGCTTGCCTGCGAAGAAGCACTCGAGCCTTGCAAAGCAATGGCTAACAGGGATGGATCAGTATCACATTTGCGCAGTTGTTTGCTGACAGCCTGCTGCATGGTTGTCCTCCACAGTGTTGGATCTTCATGAGTGCACAGGTAGAGATGGGCTGCTGTTTCATTGTCGCCACCACAGTGGGGGCACCGATGATCGTACTTGGCATCATACTTGTGGACCCTTTTGCCCACTGGAAGAATGTCAAACAAAAACACAACAGGTCATATCCAGGGGGGACCTTTGGGTTGGCACGCAATAGGAGATACTCGTGGCGCCTACTCTTCTTCGTGGCTCAATGGCGGTTCTCGTGTGTCCGTCGGAGAGCATCCCGAGTGTGCATATCGGGTACATCGGAGCCCCGTTCGGGGCTGTTGAATGCTTGGATTGAATTCGCCTATAGTTGATTTGATGGGCGATTTCCTGACAATGGCGTTAATGCGGCTACGTTGCGGCGCCGACAGATTGGATCTTTCTGCAACGCTTTTGTGCTTCCGTTCCGTGGTGGTGAGCCGTGAAAATTCAGAAAACGCGAAAACCAGTAGATTGAATCGAATCGTTCGGTTGCACTCTCCCTCGAGCCGATCGATGGGCACTGTGATCTGATAGCCATTGACTGCATGGGGAATGTACGGCCGAGTTGCATTTCACACGACGAAGGACGCCAACACTGCATGTCATCCGATGCGTACACATCCTTTCTTGAGCCGAGCTTTGACGATGCAGCCGTTTCACAGCTGCGTGTTGCTAAAGTTTGTGTGATACGGTAGCGCATGAATGACAACGTACTATAGCAACCATTACCGCATTTTAAAAACTCGTTTCGCCCATGCTTAGTTATAGTTAGCTGCACTACTTGTACAGCTCTCCTTTCCCATAGCAATCGTCGTTACTCTTGAACACACCCGCAATTTCGTCCTGCACGCCAAAGTGCTTTCCCTCTGGACACCACCGAAGCTTGGCAAAAGTCCCTGCAATGTCATACTCGGCTCTACCTCGTCCCGTCCTGGGATCAGGATTCATTTTGCGGAATTCCTTTCGTAGCCTCCCACCTAATGGTCGATGATAGTGCTGATTCAAAAAGTGTGTATTGACCAGAAGCGCTTCTGCAGCATCAATCTCGGGAATGGTGGTGTGCAGAGCCCACCAAGCATCAATGGCATCAACCTGATCCATCAAGGTGCTGTTGAACTTCCAAGCCCGTGTCGTCATCGTCACTGGCGGATCAGCATCAGCGTTACCGTGTTGTTGTGCATTGCTGTCGTCGTAATACTGTGCAAACATGGTCTGATCTTTCTTGAAATCGCCCATGGCTGTTCGAGCGACCGTGTCAAAGGGTGTGTCGTCATGAATCCAGGACTTGTGATTGTTGAAAAAGGTCGTCTCTCGATAGTCCACCCCCAGTTCTTCCACCGATTGGAGATCCAAGGCCGTCCATAAAAAGTGGACCCCCCGATCTTTGGCCACCGGCGGCAAAATGAGAATCCGACCGGTGCGTCGCGCCAGTGCCACCAATGCGGCTACCGTCCATCGGAGGTTTTCAATGCAGTGATAGAGCCCGGCTTCATCCCCCTGAAATTCCCAATTCATAACGGTGGAATATCCATTCAAAATGTGTCCATCCAACAAAATGTATCGACGAGCCGCTCCTTCCCGATGATAATAACCAGCAGCCTGTTCTGTTGTTATTATTAGTCCATCATCACCATTGAATCCATACCAAGCTCCCATTTCCTTGGCGAGCATTTTCTTGCCATGTGGATCTTTGAGTGGTGATTCTCGCAGCGGGTGAATGGCAATGGCCATTTGGGAGGCATAGGGCCGTTCACTGGCCACAATTTCATGAGGACTAAAGAATCCCGTCTTGACGGTCGTATGGAATGTAGGAAAATACCCCGGCAGAGGATCCCATCGATCTGGATTGTACTCCCACTTACTCTTGTCGCCCAAATGTTGCATGTGCAGGATTTGTCCCATAATGTATTGATCGTGTGTATTGGGACTGTCTTTGGCCAACTGAATGGCGATTTGAAAGTATTCCTTGGTAGCCGCAGTGGCACGGACAAAGTAAACACCGATATTGACACAAATGGGACAATTTTGATGGGATGAAAACAACATGTCCTCTTCAAACAGCTTTATGACGGGCAGGGGCGATTGAAGGAACCAGACATCCATTTCGTAAAAGAAAAAGGACTGTTCCATTTCGAGCAGAGCCAGCGATACTTCTAATTTGGTGTTTTGTACCGACGCTCGGAGCTGATCCTCCGTTGTGGTTGTGGTTGTTGCGTTGTCGTCGATCTGCTGCTGTCTACGAGATGTTGTTGTTGTTGTGGTGGTGGGTGTTGCGGTATCCCATGCAATGACGGGGTAGTTGTAGTGACATGCCATTTCCAAGGTTTTGTTGTCCAGAGCCACCATGAAAAAGGCCCCTGGAAAGCCGACCACATGATTGTTCATTTCAAAAACCTCGTGCATCATGTCCTTGGCATACGTGTAGTCGGAAATGGTAAAGGCCAGTAGATTGAGGTCATTATTAAGACTCGCATCAATTTGTTTGGATTGGATCAAATTTGTTAATTGATCCTTCCAAGATCGTTCGTGTGCCGATTGCAGACAAGCACGATACTGCGATTGGGAGGAGCGTGGCTTGTATCGATACTCGATAGGTCGAGGTGGGGGATAGAGCAGTGTGGTGTTGACTTGTGCCAATTCGTGCTGCCAGTCCAATGGCACGTGATCCATGGACTCCCAGTCAAAGGCGTCTTGATGATCGTAGAAACGTCCGTAGGGGAAGGGATACTCTTGGTACAAGCCCGAGCTTTGCTTCAAGGTGACACAGTGAAAATCCCAAATCGAACAATCCATGCCCAGACGCCAGTCAGGGAGTTTCTGCGTCTTTTTCGTCTTTGTGATTGTGGATTTTGCCTGCTGCATTTTCGGACTGTCATCGTCATTGCCTTGTTTCTCGGCTCCTCGTAACGACGCCAAGGACGCTTGAAGCAGCGAGAGTTGCTGTCGAGGCTCTTCTTCTTCTCTAAATTCTACGACTGACTCGACGAGGGATCCATGCTCATTGACAACAGCTCTGTGATGTAGCTGATAGTTGCGACGACGATATTCTTGCTGCAGCGATCCAAATTGCGTCAGTTGCGTCATGAGAATCAGCAAGGCAAAACCCAGCAACAGCGCCAGACTCCGCAACGCCGCCTTGTCTTGGTTGCTACCACCGCCAGCATGGCTACTACTACTGGAGCGTCGCAGAGTTGGATTGTTCATCGTCCCTTTGTTGTTGTGGTTATTGACAGCCGTAGCCATCATCATTATTGTCTTGTACTGGCTGGTTGTGCTTTCTTTGGCAGAGCAGACAAAAAGTTCAGAGTTTCGGTGAAATTGTGAGCGATTATTTCGTTGTGAGAAAAATAGCTCAGGTTCGAGCGGGGGGAGCTCAGCAGAAATAATTAACACCACTTTAGATGGGTCCCATGCAATCCAGGTACGTCCTTATTGATGGTCTCCTTGGGGCAGAAGCTGAGGCATTCGCCAAACGTATTTCCACCTTGCTCCTTACTCAGTGGTGCGTGGCTACGTTAATGCTCGACTTTGCCTAGCTATTCGTCGGGCCCGCCACCTCCATCTTAGCAGTGCAGTTTTATAGGTAGAGACAAAATCGACATGGGTATCAAACGCCAACCCACACCATCCTGATCAGTAACGTAATTTCTTCCAAGAATGCGTGCAGGGATTGGAATCGGGAGTGTGTGTTCCACATGGGCATGCATGCAATGAAGGCTCGCCCGGCAAGACTACATGATTTGTTATCCATTTTTTTTTTACCCTCTTTTCGGGAAGGCAAACCCCCTCTTTGGTACCATAAACTTATAAATAGAATTCTATTTTAAGGCTACTCTGAGTACGACTATCCACCGTGCCGCTACCCTAAACCGATAACCCCCACAAACATTGGGGCGGAGAGAGTTGGCCCCCTCAGCCGGGAAAGTTTAAAACCCAACCGAGGCAGATATTAAGGGGAAGGTCACCAACCGGACCGCCCGTGCTGCTGCTGTCATCAGCACTGCTACTAGCTGCACTATTGCTGATAGTGTCAACACTGCTGTCATCTAAATCAAGTCAGACCCGAAAGCCTGATCCAAATTGCTGCTGCCTCATGGAAGGCTGCGGCCAGTTGTTGCTGCTCTCTACTTGCTTTGTCCACCACTGGCATCCAATTGAAAGCCAGGCTTTGATATCGGAGGTGCCATTTCCATTTGGTCCTCTAGTTGCCTTTTGAAAATGGAGTTTACAAGAGACAGTGGCACCTGTCTGCCTGCTCATACAGAAACTCTACTTCCCGTTGAAGCTGTTGCTGCTTCTTGATCCACTGCTGCTGTTTATCACGTCCGTGCCTGGCTTCATTGCGGTCATCCCACAGTAGAAACCATTGTTGGAGTAAGAGATGAGCCAGTTGGTAGTCCATATGGTACCGTTTTTCTTGGATGTATGCTTTTGAACATGATGGAGATAGTCCCTGGTGTTGGTCCACATTTGGAGAGTCGGCCTTGAGGAAGTTGTTCCACCCATGTGGTTCTGGTCATGACAGTTGATCATACCTTTCTGGGAACTCAGTGGGTAAAGATGCTTGCCTGCGAAGAAGCACTCGAGCCCTTTGCAAAGCAATGGCTAACAGGGATGGACAGTATCACATTTGCGCAGTTGTTTGCTGACAGCCTGCTGCATGGTTGTCCTCCACAGTGTTGGATCTTCATGAGTGCACAGGTAGAGATGGGCTGCTGTTTCATTGTCGCCACCACAGTGTGGGCACCGATGATCGTACTTGGCATCATACTTGTGGACCCTTTTGCCCACTGGAAGAATGTCAAACAAAAGCTTCACCAGTGTTGTTTTTCTGGTCTCGTGCCTGTTGACTGCCCTGCCATGGGCTGTCCAATCAATCAGATCTGGAGTGGTATCATCCCATTGAGTGTTGTTCTGGACCATGTTCTGCAGCACTGCGGGATCATTGCGTAGGTCCCTCAGGGTGCGTGGCACCTTTGTATGTGCAGGTCCCGCCGGGAAGATGCAACTGTGCCAGGTTCACGGAGGAACCGAAGCACCACTGTATGATCCACTCCCTTGTGTGTAGCCATAAAGGCACCGGCCAGCTTGTCTGCTTTGCAATTGAGTTGGGCCTTTGTCGGCAAGGTCTCAATAGCCCTATCTTTGTCCTGGTGGCTCTTTGATGTGCTCCATTGTTGGAACACTCCTGAGAGCCTTTCGAAAAGTCTCTTCAATCTGTTGAAGCACATCCCAGTCCGACTTCAATGTGTCATTGGGGTACATCCTTTGTAGTCAAGACATTTGCACACTTGCCATTGACAGATTCGTTATCCACCAAGTGAGTGTAAGATTGGATGACTTCACAATGGAAGAACTCTGCCAGTCGCAAAATCAAACGAGTTGGAGCTAGGACCCCATAAGCTTCAGCCCTATATGAGGTTGGAGTCATACCATATACTGGACCAGCCCCGCGTGCCACAATGAATCCTTCCTGTGATGAGATCACCCACCCGAAGGAGGCGTTGCCAGCCTCAGTGTCTGCAGCTCCATCGCTGGCTACCAGAAATGGCCATTGCCTCATAAGCGAAAGAGCATCCTGTGGCCCTTGGGTCCATTCCAATTGCTCGAATAAAGATAGCTCCCAGGATTCTAGGGACATGAGAAAGTCGTCAAAAGTGTCCAGACGAGGAGGGGTAGGGCAGACATTCAGGATGTCTGCGTAACCGTTCCCCACAGTAATAGTCTGGCGCTTGTTAAACTTGTTGAGATCCAGCATTCCGGCTGTCTTCATGCCCCTGGTAATCTTGGGATCCAGTGGGACTGCGGTACTTGTGTCATGACTCAGTTGAGAGTAGCTCTCGTTTGCATTCTCCACTCGGTGAATCACTCCAGGTTTCCCTGGAACCTCATTGTAAAAGGCCCAAACCATCTCGTCATTGTCTTGGCACCGCTGGTAAACGAAGCCCTTGTCCACCTGGTAGAAGAACCGGTGCCTCATACGGAGGCGGTCTGCAGAGACCAACCATTGGCCCAAAGGAGTCACGAGCTGCTTTTTCGGTGCAAACAAAGAGAGTGCCTTGCTTGCGCCACAAAGTCCAGGTTTTAGAGCACCTTGGTCGTTCCTGGAAGCACTTGTAATTTCTGGTTTCAGGTTGCATTGGGCTTGCCCTGCCCCACCAATACTCCTTTCTGACAGCTTTGCCATCAGCAGTGACAATGTCTGCTACTGTGACCACTTGGAAAAATAGTCGAACATAGTTGATGCGGGAGATATCTGCTGGACTGAATCCACCATGCTGGCCAACCCAGTCCATGATGTAGCTGTCATGCTCCCTCTGTTTGGGCGGGACATGTGCATTGTGCACTTCAATGTTGGCTCCAATAGACTTGAGGAACCTGCGTAGGCAGGCAAAGATGCCCACAGGGAGATGAGCTGTGGATACCACATCCTGTAGAAAGGGTGCACCAATTCCACAGTGGAACTGCACCCAAGCTAACGCCACCTCGCTCAGCTCCCCAATATCAATGTTGTCACGGGTTCTCCAGTGCTTGATAAATTGCTGCACTAAGCCGATGCCCTGCTTGTCGGCCAATCGATGCATATCAATGCATCCGTACTTCCATGACCCGTAGCATACTGCCTTGCTGGTGTTCTTGCAGTATCCTTTGGTACCATAAACTACATCCCGATTGGTAAGCAATCCAAAGCACCAACCACTGCACAGGTCTAATATCTGCTAGTAATCATACGATTTCAGCAAAGAGTGACTGGAATAAGTACCTTTTACTGAAACAGGTCACCAACCGCCAAATCGCTAAAACACAGGCTTTGGCATCTGTGGTTACCTTTTGGTTTTGGCATTCATGACTCTTTCATAGATCTCCTCTGTGAGACTCATGAATCAGTGCGTGCTAGGCTAAATTATATATGTACTTGTGGAACTTTGGATTGTGTCGGCAGGCTCTGTAGATTTCATTGCATGTGTTGATCATTGTTCCTGGTTCACGATTCTCGAGAACGTTCGTCAAAGTACTTATTTCAAGTCTTTCCTTATTATTGCAAAGTTGGCAAGAATTAAAGTTACGACATTTGGCTCGAGTGGACCGCCGTACGGTAGGTTCGTACATGTACACTATATATTGGAAGGTCAATGGCTGGAGGAACCGAGGTTGTCGCATCGCATCGTATCGTATTGTATCGGTATCGTATCCTACCTTATCGTATTGTATCTTATTATTCATCAGCAGGACGCCCCGGTGCGACCAACCCGAAAATGGAAAACTCGCCGCGAGCCATTGACATGGTAGTACCAGGTACAGTGCAGCTGGCTAGGCCAGAGGGAGTTCAGCTGATGACAACTTCGGGCTAATCTAACTAAAGTCAGCCTCGGCTACCTGCATCCAACGTAACATCCACATGCAAGTTTTTTTGATGCAACGCCAAAATGTGGCGACATGTTCCGGCTTTTTTGCAGTACCAGCATGGTCTAAGTATCAACTGCCCCAAAGTCTTTGTACTGTAGATACATCGAAAAAATAGGCTTATGTTAGCACATGACGGTGAACAGCCAAGGATTTATAGACGAATCCCAGTGACCAAATGATAATATCAGTATCACGACACTTAATGCTGGTCTTCTTCTCTTCTCCTTTCATGATTGATCATCGGAGATCGGAGACGGCATAAAAGGTCATTTTGATGCCACCGTCGCAGTCTTATAAAGCTCACAAAACCATTTTTTCTCGTAAAATTACTACGGTAGTCTAGCTACCGGTAGTCTTTTTCCTCCTTCTGATTCGATTCATAAAATTCATTGGCATCATCTATTTCATCTCATCTCATCTATCCATAGACAGACAGACAAAGAGCACAACAACGAGAGCTACCATAGCTAGTAGTACTAGTAGTAAACGTGCCTTCCTTTCTCTAATTCTAAAGATGGGATTGCTGGACGCACTGGGTAGCTTGGGTACGAAGAACGTTGCTCTGGTGGTGTTAACCGTTACGACGATTGCTCTATCGATAGCACTAGGTGTCACCGTCTCCGAGTTCAATGAGCAACGGCTGCGCTACTCTCAGTATGGACAACCTCCCCCACAAGAATACATTGCCATTGATACTACTACCTCTACTACTGCTGGTGCTACTGCTAGTGGAAAGGATGAGGTCATTCAAGACTCTACCACGGCAGCCACCACTGGTCAAACGCCAGCAGCAGAGGATGAAGACCAAGATGTTCTGTTTGGCGCGCCACTGCAATTTTCGGAGAATGAAAATAGCCAGAGTGCCGAACGCGCCATGGTGACGATTGACCTCAGTAGTAGTGCCACCATTAGTTGTCCTACGACGGCCGCGTCGTCGCAAGCATTTACTGTGGCGGACTTGGTCAATCCCGCCGCTCTCGGCATTACACTCTCGGCTACCAATCAATTGTGTACATTAGTGCGGCTCAATACTGCTGCATCTCCGTCCAATACGTTTATTCAGGTGAGTCGAGTGACAGTCATTCATTCATTCATTCATTCATTCATGTCTTGGATTGGCTACCTACGTATGGATCAGGTGTCAGATACCTATCTACCAAGCTAGCTAGGCGGCTATAGGTCCAGCTATAGGTCCAGGCAGGGATGGGTATTTAGCTGCCTAGCTAGCCTGGTCTACAGCTGGCTTGCTTGCTTTCTTGCCTGTCTTGCTTTAAAGCAACGTTCTAACGAACCCTCTCTTTTTACTCTATCCATGTATGTATATATCATAATCAGCCCCTTGCCCGAAGCTACAGTGGTAATGACTGGGAGAAAACACGGGGAGCCTTTGTTCAACAAGTTGCCTTTGATTGCACACCGGGCACTAGCTGTACCATTGACATGACGAAAATCGAAGCAGTCGCAGCAGGAAGTCAATACCAGTTATCTACCTTTGATCCACCGGCGCATTACACCAAACGCGATGTCATTGCACGATTCTTGGAACAGACTACCTTTGGTCCTACTACGGCCGATATTGATGCCCTCGAAGCGGCGGAACCGAGCACGGACTTGGACGCGCTCAAACAATCGCTGGCATTGGCCACGTACGTGCAAGAACAACAAGCGACAAATTCCATCTTTTCCCATCGCGCCCATTATCGCAAACATCTCAATGCCAGATTTGAACATGCCGGACCCATGGGACGCATTACCTGGCCGTGTGAACGGGGAACCCGCTATCGGCGCATGGCGTTCTCGGATAAGGACGACGAAAAGACATTGGTCGTCACGTCCAGTGGAACCACCAAACTTTTTGCCATTGATGGCAAAGTACGGACGGCCTATGATCCACCACTCTACGGGATTCTCTCGGGAGGTGTCATTACCGAAGTCTGGTATCCCGATGGAGATTATCGGGTGAGTTGTGTCGTGTCGTGTCGTGTCGTTTGTTACTTTTGTTCGTTTCGTGACGAGCGACGTGTGTGTGGTGTGCATGTGGCAGTTTTTCGTCATTCGTTTCGTCACAGCTGACTGACTGACTCTTGGTGTGATTTCTTTGTATTCATACAGATTTGCGAGATTAAATACGATCTATTCACAGCACTCTCCAGCGTCACGGTCAAACACCCCGACCATGCGGACTGCATCACGCTCGTCACAAAAGGTGCCGATGGATACTTTTATTCCAATCTACCCATCAACGTACATCCGGGATCCAACGATGTCATGATAAACATTCCCATTGGCAGTGCAGCACCCATTGATGTCAATTATGCCAATGCACAACCCGCATTGGTCGAAAATCAACTCAACAGTCCCGAGCAACCCGAAATCATATTGTCGGCCGATTTGACCGACGAGGTTTGTTTTGAATTGCGAGGTGGTCGAGGCGATGAATGTACTCCCACTGGAACCGAGCCCTGTAAAAAGATACGATGTATGGCGCCCCCACCGGGATGTTTCAACGTGGAAAGTCATTTCGTTGTCACGGACGAAGGGTTCTGCTGTCCGGGACCGTGCTATCAAGTGGATAGTCTCGGGAACAGGTGCAATGGAGATGAGAAAGCAGTGATTGCACAATGGAGTAAGTTTGTTCCTTGGTTCGTTCATTCATTCATGAGTTTGACAAAACGGATGCATGCTGTTTTGTTTGTTTTAGTGGTGTTGGACAAATTGGGGTTCTCTCACGTGGATCGTTCTTTCGTTCGTTCGTTCTTTCGTTTTACCCGTAGATGGCCAACTTTATATACATGACCCTCGACGCTACATGTTGGAAAACACTCTCGAGGCGCCCAAGCAAGATGGCGGCGGAGAAATTGAAACCGACTATAACAATCCGCTGGGAGACGAGTGGACGGCCCGATGTGCCAATGCCAAAAGGAACTTTGTCAACGAGGATTCGTGCTTTCTTTCCAATTCACCCGATGCTTGTTCCTATCGACCGACACAGACAGTTGTGAATGAACAAGATCCATATTCATGGTTCAATGTCACGTTAGAGGCTCTCAAAAAGGTCTACCAACAAACGGGGGCTGGAGCGGGAGGAAACACCGTCTACCTGTATGCTATCGATGGGCTACGAGTCGAAGATGACATCAAAGTTGCACCGCCCTGTCAAAAGGGAAGACATCGGTTCATCAAAGGACCGTGCACAACTCCAGGAGAAGGGCCCCTAGGGCCTCTTGAGGCGAGCACTATTGACTTGTTTGAACGAAAATTGGCCAGTCGAGACAATGTAAACGAAAACCCCTTCTACATGGATTGGTAATTCACTTCAGCTTGGGGACACACTGTTCATGCGCGATGTGTGCTGACCATTGTAATACTTTGCAATATAGGTATCGTGGTGCCAACACGGATCCCTGTGACCCATTAGATTCCCTGGCAGTCGCATTTGAAATTCGCAACACAAACATGGATGGAACATGTTTCAAGCATGTCCACCCCGGTACGTCAGTGCCGCGCATGCCCTAACACTCTGCTGTCTGTCTGCTTGTACTCACCACAATTTGTTTTCGTCCGTGCTTATTATTAGATCACTTGAATGTGTATGACTTTACATATTGGACCATCTCACACCCAGGAAACAGCGAGACGAGAAATCCAATCAAAGAGCTCCACGAGAGTGGCAATGCCATCTTGACATTTCCCGATTGGCACGGAATGGACCGATGGCAACAACAGAAAGGCGCGGCCAAGCCAGGCAACATGCGACTAGGCGAGAGCTACGACTTTTATCGCCTGCCTCTGGCGATTCGACGTGTAGACGTTGCTGGAGCTCTGGGGGTTCGTTTGAATTATCAACCCCATGATGAAGATATCCCCGGACCGTTCATGGTTTGTGGAAGCCCTTTCGAAGTTGCCAATGATCCATTCCAGGGTGGAGACTCCTATATGGGAGCGTTTGACGCTGATACGTCCTTCTATCAGACTACAAAGGGCACATATCTGAAATCGCAGCTCAGGATTACATGGTTCGTTGCCGCCTTGTCACAAACCGGCCAGCTCCGACAACGGGTTGCATGGGCCCTCTCGCAAATTTTTTCGATTTCACCTGATGCCATAATTAGTGGCGACACCCTTTCGGAGGCATTCCTGGTGTACTATGATATATTTGTCCGGCAAGCATTTGGCAACTACAGAGATGTAATGAAGGAGGTTTCCTTCTCACCGATCATGGGTGAAATGCTTACATACTACGGTGGGCGCTCTACAGCGACTGTTTTCGAAGATGAGGGCAACATCCAATTTGCCGACGAAAAGTACGTAAAACAGCATGCAAACTGTGAGTGTGTGACGAACGAAAAACTCTTGTGCTAACCAGGGCTCTTGATAGCTATGCTCGGGAGGTTATGCAGCTCTTCAGCTTGGGACTATACCGTCTCAACAAAGACGGCACCCAGCAGTTGGATGGGAGCGGAGGCACCCAACTTGTTTACACTAACGACGATATTGAAGAGTATGCGCGGTACGTGCAGGCAGGAAATATGGTATGGTTCCTTTGATGTCTACCCTCCCTCCTCACTATCTGGTTGTTTTTTGCGATTCTCAAGAGCCTGGACTGGCTTCATCCGTCAGGGAAGGCGCGGGAATATCGAGGAGATGGCAAAGCTCAATCAGATAGATCCAATGCAGATTTTCGCTCCCTGGAGGGATCGGTTGCCCAAGATGGGTCTTGATCGAACGTATGTTGGTGATGGCTATCCTCGGTGCTCCGATCTCCCTACCGATCATTTCCTCTCTTATGGTGCAACCTATCGTCTTGTGGACAGCTCTGACCCGGAGCTGCACACTGACCCAGTGGAATGGCGCGGCGATGGCACTGCGGTCAGGCTTACGCTTGATCCAGCCAGCCAGTTGTTCACCAAACTAATCTCTTTGGTGCCACAGCTCCGGATAGTTCTGGACGCAAATCTTGATTGTACGGGAATCGAATGCAGCATTGACACAGTCCGTGTTGTTAAGGTTGGCGACTATTACTACGAATATATTCGGACACCTTGTGTTCTCCATGCTTTCTTTGGTAATGCCAAGACCATTGCAAGGCGTGCTAATGGCAATGATGCTATGTGTGGAGATCCTAACAACGTGGAGACTGCAACAACTGCATGCTGTGAAACCAGCAACTCTTGGAATGAGCAGGTAAGCGGCGTCACTTCCCTGGTGGTGATAGAAGAGCCAGCTTCTCCTCTAAACTTCTTCATCAATTGTGAACTTCACAGTATTTTGGTGAGCGGACGGTTTTTGCTACCTCACAAGGGCGATGCTCTTTGTGTGACCTTAGCACCAGACCCTCGTGTACGGCCAACGAATGCCTCGCTGACAACTACTATTGGACAGAAGAGAGCTGCATGGTCAAGGCCAAGATAAACCCTTCTTCAGGCAAGGTTGGAGTAGTTCACGAGCCAACTGGGGTCGCCACTGATGATGTGGCTTCCATTGTACAGCCGCACACACAAACATACTTTCGCGTGGACTGGACTTGTGGAGATGCCTCGGCCTGCGGCTTGAGCGCTTGTGAAGTACTTCCTTCATGCAGCATGACCACCGATGGGATGTGTCTCTGCGAAGTAAGCGTCGCCGACGAGCCAGTATTCGGTATAGCTACACCACCGACCCGAGAACAAGTCTTGGATTTGCTGCACATTGGAGCTGTGAAACCGTTTGGAATTGATGCGCGAGTGCTACCATCTGATCCTGATGTGAAAGTGTACTATGGCGACACATCGTTCACCGAATCTTCCATCTTCGAGGTAGTTGATGATTATGGTCGAACAGTTCTCAGAAAGAACGTACGGTCAGTAGTCAGCGTCGCCGGAACAACAACTCTGTCATTCCGTAATCCAGGTAAGTGATGGAAAGTTTTAAGTCCCGCGCATCACAACGCCATCATGCATGGCATTCCGCTTACACGTCGCTTTTCCCAGTGCATTTTATGCATCTCGCGGACCCTGAACCTCGAGATGCATACCACGAGACGGATGCCACCTTGGACCATTATTTCTATCACCCAAACACCGGGCCGTTCGTTGCCTATCGCTTTGCCCAAAGATTTGGAATCTCAAATCCATCTCCGCGCTACGTCACCTCTATCACTGATGCATTTGTAACGGGATTGTACACGTTCAATGCTGGTGTCACATCCGTCAACTTTGGAAGTGGCAAGTATGGTGACCTGGCAAGCACGATTGCGGCAGTTCTGTTGGACCGCGAGGCTAGGGATTTCATCTTGGATATGGATCTGTCATATGGTTCCGTCAAAGAACCAATCATCAAAATTACTGGTCTGTTGCGGTCTCTTGGTTTTAACCTCAACGATCTTTTCAAGTGGGTCGAGTTCCAATTTGATATTGGAGAGACTCTTGGTCAAATGGCGCATGAGATCCCATCGGTCTTCTCATTTTTCCTCCCAGAATACCAACCATCAGGTAGGCTTCTTCTTCATACTTGACTGTGTCAAACCCGGGCTAGGCTTTGTGGTGGTCTCATTGTGTCTTTCACCTTTGTTCTTCAGGCCCTGTATCCCAAGCTGCGTTGGTAGCTCCGGAGGCCCAGGTTTTATCAGCACCCACAATCATCAACACAATGAATGGAATTCTATCAGCATTAAAGTACGGCCTTAACAATTGCGTCTCGGGCTTTGGTCCTACAGCGTTCCAGATGTCGAGGTTCTGTTCAAGTGCAACGATTGGAAGTACGGTGGGCGTGGGCGGGTTTGGCTTCACGCCGTCATCCACGGATGCCGCTGTTGATGAATTAGCCACTCTAATGACTGCGGGCAGACTGAGTCCTGAAAAACGAACGAAACTCAAGAGCCTGTATGATTCACCCATCGAGTCGCAGATGCTCATCTCTTCCACCCCAGAATTTCACGCTACGGGTGTTACACAAACAACCGGGGTGAGTAGGCCTCCAAAACCGGCTGCAACTGCGTCGTCGACCCCCTACAAGGCTCTTGTTTATGTCTTCCTGCCTGGTAAGTTCGTCAAATTGTGTGTGTGTTGCCCATCATGTCATCATGAATGCAGAAGTCTGCTCACATATCACTTTGTTTGTCTCAGGGGCCTATGATTCTTGGAATACCCTCGTTCCCCACACCTGTACAGTCACAAACTCTGCTGGCCAAACTCCTCGAGAGCAGTATGAAAATGAGCGATCAGCACTAAAACTGGTTGATAGTGAGAGAACCAGAATTATTGATGCCACTGGACAGCCTTGCTCCCAATTTGCGGTCCACCCTGATATGGAGTTTCTGGAAAGAAACTACAACGGCGGCGATTTGGCATTCTTTGCCAATGTGGGGCAGATTGATACTCCAGTGACAAAGGACGACTACCAAAGGCTCTCGAGGTCTCAGCTGTTTGCACACAACAGCATGCAACAAGAGAACTACAAGATTGATCCTTGGGACGCGAAAACTGGTACTGGTCTTCTAGGGCGCACATGTGACGCCCTTCAATTGAAAGGATTCAAGCCACAACCAATCACGGTACATATGAACCCTACAACATGACAGTGGATGATTGTTTTTGATGACTGACACTTGGGTTGTCAATTTGCTTCTGTTCGATAGGTTACCCATGTAAACGTCGCAACTGTGGGCGTTCCAGGGGCATCTGAGCCTCCATTGGTGGTAGGTCTGAACGGGGTCGATTCATTTGCGCGAGCACGTGGGACTGATGGAATCGATCTGAATGACCATTGGAGCGACATGAACAATGCTACTGAGGCACATAGCAGTGCCTTCGGTGAAACGTGGTCCATCAATTTCAAAAGAGCTGTGGAAGATTCTGGGCAGCTGAAAACCGCGCTGGACAATGTAGCTCTAACCCAAAACTACCCTGACGCTGAAGGGGCAGCAAGGAACATGATCCGAAATGTCAAGACGATGGCCAGCATGATATTAACTCATGAAGAACGAGGGGTTGATCGAGATGTTATGTTTGCAAGGGTGGGAACCTGGGACCATCATGCAAGGATGAAAACAGAGCTAAAAGAAAATTTTGTTGGCCTCGACCAAGCTCTTTCAATATTCGAGAGCGAAATGAAAGCACAAAATCTGTGGGCGAACGTTACAGTTGCGGTTGTTTCAGAGTTTGGCCGAACCTTGACTGCCAACAGCGGGGACGGAAGTGACCATGCATGGGGTGGACACTATTGGCTTGGTAAGTCATCTCTCCTCGATTGCTCTGGACACTGGATGAGCACACCTTTCATTTGTGACGATGCATCTCTTACAGTCTTTTCGCTTTTTCTCCATTCGTCTGGCACTCGACTACTCCAAAGTTGGTGGCAGCGTCAAAGGCGGACAGATCTTGGGTGATTATCCACCAGATATCACCTCGCTCGGGCCAGTCAATATTGGGAGGGGGCGTATCATGCCGACATCTAGCTGGGAGTCCATGCTAACCGCACCTCTGCAATGGTTGGGGCTGGAAACTGAAGCAGAGTTGGACTATTGCATGCCTAATAGGTTGAATGCAGGTGCAGCTCTGTTCACAGCCGACCAAGTTTTCAAGCCGTAAAAGAGACGTTTCCTTTCTGGTCAAGACCGAGTGGTGATGTTTTCTCTCAATTGAATGACTTGGTCTGCAGTCGACTGTGCTGCCACCAACCAGTGCAGCAGTAACAAGGAAAGCTAAAATGATCATAACTTGCAACATCCTGCGCTCCACTTTAACCTGCCACACAGTAGTACACTATTACAAAGCAATAAAACAAGGCTCCTGGCTTGCAGTCATGCCCGATATTGCCAAACGCACTCACCTCTCTGCTCAAGAATGGCGTGATGCTCTTTTTCTCCGGTTCGGTCTTACCCCCCCCAGCTCTACCAGCTCTTTGTGATGGCTGTACTGGTCCCTTCAGCGTTCCACATGCTCTGGATTGCAAACGCGGCGGCTTAATCATCCGTCGCCATAATGAAATCCGCAATGAACTTGGTTCTATTGCATGTGAATGCTTTGGTTCCTCTAGCGTCCAGTCAGAACCACCCCTTCCCTCTGTTCCCGCCCCTACTATCCCTGCCGGTCACCCAATTTCTACCTTACCTCCCCTTCCTCCCCCCCCTCTCAATCCCCCTCCAGCCCCCGAGCTCTTACGTGGTGATCTTTCCATTCGCGGCTTGTTTGAACGAGGTACTACAGCTATTATTGACGTACGTGTCACTGATTTGGACTGTGCCTCTTACCGCAACAAAGATCCCGTCAAAGTTTTACCCAACAAGAACGCGACAAAATTCCAAATATAAAAACGCGTGCGAGTCCAATCGCGCTTCCTCCACCCCTTTGTTGTTTCAGTGATGGCATGCTTGCCCCTCAAGCCAAGACTCTCTTACAACGCCCTGCTTCTGCTACTGCCTCCAAAACTCAATTTTCCTACTCTCAAATGATGTTCTTCATGCAGACCCGTATCTCAATTGCCCTTGTGAAAGCTACCCATTTATGTCTCCGTGGATCCCGCAAAGCCAAACCCTTTGCCCCCCGTAATGGTCTCCATTTCTTGCCCCTGATCCCACAGAACCCTTTATGTCCTGAATTTCGACTGTTCTTTGCTTAAGCCTGGCCCCGGCTGGCTTCCGTAGATAATTTTCCCTACTCTAAACCCCCCTTAATAAAACAAGAACTAGCCAAACTAATGCTCATGCAAACACACCATAGAGATAACTGTTATTGAATGGACCGATGGCAGCAACAGAAAGGCTCAGCCAAGCCAGGCAACATGCAACTAGGCGAGCAATACGACTTTTATAGCCTGCCTGTGGGGATTCGACATGTAGACGATGCTGGAGCCTTGAGAGTTGAATTATCAACCCCATGACGAAGATTTCCCTGGACCCTTCATGGTTTGTTGAAGCCCTTTGGAAGTTGTCAATGATCCATTCAAGGGTGAAGACTCCTATAGCAGAATACAGAAGCAATCGATGCTGATACATGCATCATTCTATCAGACTACAAAAGGAACACTAGCCAGCAATTGCAAGTTCATGATACTGAACGACCCTCTCATGAACTCTCACGATCATCTCGTATCAAGGGTCAGAGTACATGTAGAACTTCTAGTAACAAATCAACTCAAAACCTAACCGTGACTGGCTGGGCATGAGGAACAAAGGGCTGGCTAGCTAGCTGGAGTAGCTACTATTAATAGTTACCGTAGCTACCAAGCAGCCAACTGTTCATTACTTAGGTAGCCAGCTAGGAGAGCCTAATATCTTAGCTAGCTAGATAGCTACCCAAGCAGCCAACTGTTTATTACCTAGCTAGAAACAGGCTCTATCTATCTACTAGAGCTAGCAGCAGTACTAGCTAGCTACTTCAGTAGGATGCTACACAGATTCTCACTTTCGAATTCAAAGAACAAGTAGCAAGTGAGAAACCAACGGCCACTCGCTATATAGATCCACTCGCTATTAGATCAAACAGCCATGCACTTACCATACATCAGCCTAAACAAGGAGCACGGCCTCCTCCATCAACAGACACCTCAACGCCAGAGCATGGTTGGCTTGAAGAGCTTTGCGTTCTTGTCGGCATGACACTCGAGGATGTGTCGACCCATGCAGACCTTTCCAGAGCCATCACAGATCCACTCTTCTTGTTTTCCCTTTTCGCGACAAGCCCTGCAGACAGTTGTCACTCTGCACTTGCCTTGAAGTGAGTGGGTAGGCTTGTTGGCTGTCTTCTTCTTAGTTGGTGTGGGACCAGTTAAATGGTAGGTGGAAGGAAGTGTGTCACCACTGGCAACATCTTGCTCATGGGCATGTTCCCTTTCTGTTCTCTTTCGAAGAGACCTTTCTTCATAGGTATTGTCAATGAGCTGCTCTGCAAGGACCTCCACAAATTCTCGAGGCGTCCAATTATAGCCACTCTGACATCCATCTGCAAGCTCATAGGCATCGACAACACACATTGAGAAGATCGACATGTGGACACAACGCGACCACTTCTTTGTTTGCACTTTCTTTTCCACTTGAAGGGCATGTTGCCGAGTTCTGTTGTGTTGGTCAATAGTACCACAGGCAGAATAGTACTTGTCGCATGCTTCAGGTTGTGGAATGGACACTTGTACTCTCTCAGCCGGTACCTGACGCCATCGCCACCGGTTGCATGGTGGCCCAGGAGCAGTAGAGCTACAGGTAGAGATAAAGTAGCGACGATCCCTGTCAACCCATACATAAGCGAGTAGATCAGTGCCTGTTTCTTCGTCAAGTGAGGTCACTGCCGCTTGGTCGCCACGACCACTCAGCAAGGGCAATGTAGAAAGGTATTTCATTGGACACCCTTTGGTGGCTGTCTTGACCACTCCAATGAAGCGAAGACCAGCTTTCTTCAGACGGACAGCTGTTTGGACAGAAGCAAAATAGCTGTCACCGACAACTGTCCTGTCAATGTTGGACCAGTACTGGGTCAAGTCATAGAAAATGTTACAGCCATGAGAGTATCTGCGGGATTACAGGAAGAAGAAGAAGAAGAGAAGCAAGTGCTAGATCATGCGAGGAGAAAGAATGTCACACAAGACAGCCAGCGTGGAACATAATGCATACCCATCATTGTCCTCCTTTGAGCGTCGTGCTCTCTTGTGTCAGCATCATCGTCGGTTACTTTGGCCAGCTTCAACTGAAGCATCATCCCGTTGACACCATCTGCAGAGTTTTGAATCTCACATCAATCTTCTGGCTTTCGATCAAGAGCAATATAGCGAGGCAATCCAATGTTGATCCAGCTTCCACCCAATCCATACCAGCGGCTCATTGACTCATCCACACAGATAATCCAAGAGTGGACGTAGAACCTGCGACGATGCTCATTGAACCTGTCAACGAAACCTTGAACTGGAATCCACCTGTACTTCTGTGATCCCATACCGGGTGGCTTCTCCTCAGGCTGATTACTCCACACCATGTAGCGATTGAGATCCTTGAATTGGTTGCGAGACATTCCTGTTCTACCAAAGTTGGGTGCAGGCATGTACTTCCTATTGCTCTGAGTAGCCCAGAATGACTTGCGATCCCCAAATTCAAAGCGAGTGATCAAGAGGAGAACACCAAAATATTTGAGTAATTCCCCCATAGTTGAGCTCTTTCTTCTTCTCTCGTTTCAGCACTGCACTTGTTTCACGGATTATGTAGTCCAGCTGAGTCTTGGGGAAGCATGCAAGGAAGAAATTGTACGGTGGATGCTTCAGCTTTTTGTTTCGCTGGTACTTATCACGGCCATGTGTTTTCTCTTCCAGTGAACTGGCAAGTCATCTTCCAAGAGCGAAAAGGAGTTGGACCATTGCAAGGAATGTCTGTGGGCTTGTCGGTGTACCAATCATATCTATGGCTTGGCGCAACAGATTGACATTCCAGTGCCGACTGATGATGGTGAGGGCTGTTGTTCCGGATTTTCAGGTGAAGAATGATTCTGTTCCAAAGTGGCATCTTCATCGGTCACTGTAGTAGTTACTTCAACTCCATTGGAAGGGCTGGTAGCTGTCGCTGTCGATGTCTCAGATTCTTGTTCAGGGTTGGTTGGTTCAACTGGAGGAGGATTCGAGTTGGGTTCCACGATGGCAGAAGCTCCAATCGGATCAACATCTGGATTTGGATTGGTTGCCTTCAGACTCTGCAAATAGATCCACTGCTCCACAGCTTTGGTAGGGCCAAGCTTGTATGTACAGCGCCTTGATGTAGTTCGTTCCTCTCTTGGCGTCGGGTGTCTTCTTCCTCAACTCCACTTCCTGGACAATACCTTTCAACCAAGTTTCACCACAAGCTGAACCAACAAGGCGTTTTGCATCCTGGGTAACATGCTTCGACAGAGCCCAGCACTCGCCACCCACAACCTTTTGGGTGTCGCGGACAACACTAGCCATCTTTCTGTTAAGTTAATAGCGCCGAAGTGGTGGTTGAGCCGTCGATTTTGGCCTTGGTGAGGTTTCTTTTCTGCAGAAAAGAATGAAGAAAAAGTTTTCGATCGGATCGGAACTGCCGAGTAAAGCCAGCTTCAATCCCATCTGTCGCGCCATACTCAAGCGGCCCTGCACGCACCTTCTACTACCCAACATATAGTTAAATAACGCTGGCAGTTTATCAATGTATTGGCCATGTAGATTATAGATAGTTGATGTGTTTATGATATTGATTAACGCATATAGCATTAATTAACGCAGCTGGGCTGCTGGACACTAGCTAGTCCTGCATGTCACAGAAAGGCCATCAGATGTCTACAGTGTCGCACAGTGTCTACAGTACCGATACAGTGTCCCCCACCATGGGAACTCCCGCCACGAAGCAGCCAACCATCTAACCAGTGGTAAAGGCACGTAGCTTCCTGTAGGGCTACTAGTACGGTACCTTTGCATGGCTGGGCACTGCTCTTTAGATTAACTTAGGAATTGCCCGCCACCTCTGCATGCGTGGCTCTCGTGTCCCTGCTGGCACAATGAGCTACCGTCGTTCTCTCTGGGATGCCGATGGTGCACTAGCACTCTTCCGCTAATTTTGCTCCCTTGTCCTTCCTGGTTTTCCTCCATGCACCCCCCT